TACGAATCCTGCGGAAGAGAAATATATAAGCGCGGCTCTTTCTAGTGCGGGCTAGACTTCGGTATAACCCACTCTAACCCGGACCTAACCTAACCCAACCTAACCCAAAATAGGTTTTGGGTCTATTGCTTCGACCCAACGATAGGTTTTGGGTTATAGCTTATAACCCAAAACCTATTGGGTAACCTATTGGGGCCCTAATATAGTGTAAACCAGATAAATAGACTTCTAGCGTATAACTGTATAATTACTATATTTTTTACTTGTAATATTGAGTATTTTACTTACAGCGCTCTTCTAGAAAAAATAGAGAATAAATCAAATAATTAAACCAGGATATATTTCTCTAATATTGCTTAAAATCCTTATCTACCCTGCTCTTACGCTTCCTCCCTAAGGCCCGTCTCTAAGTTATAGTCTCTGGTAACTCTGGCTCTATTACCTCTATATCTATATCTATTAAATAAGGAGATATCTCTCGCAGTCTATTATCTACTCCTTCTTCCTCTTTATTATCACTAATTAGGTTAAGCTTAGTATCCTCTATATATTTATCGTTCTGCTCCTTCGCTGACTCAATCTCAGCTAGTATAAAGAACTGCTTAAGCTGCTTTACCTCAGAATCCTTAATATTGAATCTTATTGTATATAGAAATAATATAAGCTCCTCGATTGTTTCGGACTTTAGATAACTACAGCGGTAGTAATAAATATCCCGAGTAGTATTGAAGAGCCGTTCGACACTAGTACTAGTTACTAGGATAGAGAGAATATCGCGAGTAAGTAACGTAATCGTAGGGAAACGAGATTAGTTCTCCTACTAGAATTAAAGAGGTTTAATATTAATTAGATCTAGTAGTATAAATATATTAGTATTATCCTGTATAGGGAAGAAATAGATTATAAATATACCACTATCGAGATATTGAGTTATCTTATTACTAGCTGGTTTTGCGGATATCTTATTACTCTTTAGTATTATATTCAGCCTAGAACTAGATAATACTATTGTTAGAGTATTAGTCGATCCTTAATTTATTATAAGGCGCTCTTAATATAGAATCAATAATTCCTAGAATAATTTCCGGTAGGTATTACACTAGTAAGGCTCCTAATTATCAGATAGAAAGAACTCAAATCTACTGTTAGGTGCTAGTATTGTCCTAACTGTATAGATATATCCTTTAAGATTGTCGGTTTAAGAGTAGTACTTATTAAGTTTTAAGCGACTAGCTATAAGTGCTTTGAGTATATCTAATTTCTATAGAATACGCTTACGTTTAAGCAGCGCCTCTGCTTCAAAAAAGTGATCAAAGAGGGTATTATAAATCTTAAAGACAAGATATATAGTGACCTCCTTTATCTTCGAGAGCTCTGTTATATAGTTAAAGAATAGCCGAGTGATTTATAGAAGATAGTTAATTTAACGCTATTCTTAAGTATTAAGCAATATCTCCTTACAGTTATACTCCTTACAGAAGGGCTAGAAGAAACTATATAGTCTCTTTGTATAACGAAGTATTAAGAAGGTAGAATTCCACCGAGTCCTTACGTCCTAGATTAGAATAAGCTAGGATCCCTTTTCTTAAAGTCGGAGAAAGGCCGCCTAGCGTTGCGGACTTATATAGATATATACAGTAAGATAACGGACCTTATTTAAGGTGTATAAGATCCTCTGTGTCTAGTGCTAAGTATTTACTTTTACTGCAGATAATTTCTAGTCAGTCCACTTTGTTTCTGTATTCTTATTTAGAGGGATAGCCTTTAAACGATCAAGGAGCTGGTTTAAACAAAGCTAGATAATATAGGTAAGACAGGGTATTCGGATTACTATTATATCGCTAGAGAGCGCCTACTGAATAGCCTTAACTATTATCTTATTATTAGTTATATTATTAGTTATAACTCTAGATACCCGATCCTAGATCTTATACTTAACTAGAGTTTTAAGGAGTACACCACTTAGATTTAAACCGGTATAGGAGCTATAAAGTGGTTTAAATCTAAGTAGAACTTCTTAGTATACCTAGTTACTATTAATAAAATAGCTAGTGATAGCTATAAACGCCTAGTTATATAGAGAAGTCTAGCAATCTAATACAATCGAGATTTTTACGTCGTTAGGTAGTGTTTAGAGGATAGATTTCTATCGTTCTATAATTATATTATATAAACGACGACGTATTGTGGTAGCAGAGGGTATCGGAGGGAGAGATAGTGTAGAGCGGGCTAATCGGAATAGCTTATAAAATATTGGATATTCGATAAGGTAGAATAGAAGTCGATTGAGGGTGAGAAATTAGAGAAGATACTCTTCCTATACCGATTGTAAAAAAGGAGCCTCTGGTAAACCGTAATCCTATATATCCAGGGGTATTAGGGAAATCAGATAGCTAAATAAAGAGGTAAAGAGATACTACTTTTTAAAGGAACTAGGTAATTTCTCCTTTCCCTCCCTATTAAGCTTTACGATAGCCTACTGTCTTTAAATACTTCAATATTGTTAATATACTATAATAGCCCTTTCCGCTAGGTAATAGAGAATAAGGATACTCTAGGATCTTTAAGCAGCGCTTATATATCACCTTTAGCGCACTATCTTTAGTATAGGTAACTTAGTCGAAGTTGCTCTATATATTTAAATTACGATTTAAATCCTAGGAAATCTTACTTTTCTACCTATAGTCGGTTTATAGCTACTACTTAACCTATTCTTTATATACTATATTGTTATAAAGTATATATACCTTTCTCCGATCGGGGCTAACGCGAGTAAGAGAGTGTAGAATTAGTAGAAGGTTAGAGGGCCGAAGTCAGTATCAATAGTATCAAAAGGCTCAATTATAAGCTAGCTACTAGATAGGGTTAGAACTCGAGAAGAGGGTATAAGATAGCTAAGGTTATCTGTATCTGTATTGTAAAGAGTAGGTAAAAAGTCAGAATACTAGCTTTAGGATATTGCGACCGAAAAGGGGAATACTATAGAGGTAAGAGGGAAAGGTAGAGAGAGTATATACTTATAAGAGAAGGGTATATAAATAGTAAATACCTTAGTCCTATAGTAAAGTAGATAGATCAAAAGGTATAAGCTATAATATTATTTGATTGGCTATATAAGCTCTATTTAAATAGGTCTAACCTAAGAGAACCCAATAGAACCTAATAGGACCTATTAAAACCTAAGAGAACCTATTTATAACCTATTAAAACCTAAGAGGACCTATTTATAACCCACTCCCCTAGAAGATCCCTTAAAAATATTTTATTTACCCTCCTAGAAGAACTTTTCTAACCGCGGTTAGAGATAATAATATATATACCTACACCCCCCTAGAAGGGCTTTTCTAACCGCGGTCAGAAATAATAATATAAATACCTACCTCCTAGAAGTGATTTTCTAACCGCGGTCAGAAATAATAATATATATACCTACCTTCCAGAAGTGATTTTCCGACCGCGGTCAGAAAATATAATTCGGAGTATATATAATAAGTTAAATATAAGAGAAGAGAAATATAGCTTTAATATAATATCAATTGTATATAAAATCAAATAAGAATAAGATATTTCTATTTATATTTATAGTTATCCTGTAATATATATATACTCCCCTCTACTACAAATATATATTTTTAACAGTCTACAGTTAATAAATACTTAAATTAATAGAACACCACTATACTATAATTAATATAAATTTTTATCAGTAATCAATATAATATAAAGCCTATTAGCTTTAAATTCAGGGTAATTATATAAATTTTCTAACTTAATATTGTGATAATATAGTAATATTTGATAAATAAACCAGAACAGCTGTAAAAAACAGTAATTTATTTGAATGACTTAGCATTGTTATAAACGCCAAGACCTATCTTTTATACAAAAATAGGTTCAAATAGGTTATTATTGGGTTATTGGGTTTAACCTATTGGGTTTTGGGTTAGGTTGGGTTATAGAGGGCAGAACCCAAAACCCAATGGGTTGGGTTTTAGGTCGGAGACTCCGACCCAAAATGGGTTCTGCCGAAGTCTACGCTTCCCTACGGTCGTATAGTATAAAAAAAGCACAGAACTAAGAGAACCATACTTAAAATATAATATTATCAAATAACTTTACAATATTTAACAACTTAAATAGTTATAAATTGGTAATTATAATCTAGTGGACAAAACAGATATAAATAACTGTATTTTATTAAGAGATATAAGCAGTTTTATCCACCTTAATTAGGCTTAGCGCTCGAAATTTATATATCCGAGGGTCGCTGCGGGTCGTGGAGGGTCACCCGCGAGCGACCCTTAGAGGGTCAGGGTCAGGGTCAGGGTCGCTTATAAGCGACCCTGACCCTCGGAGGGTCGGGTGGAGGGTCCAAGATCATAGACCACCCGGAGGGTCACTGCCAGGTCTAGTCGGAAGACTATATACAACACTATTAAGCGCTTCCAAAACCACCAAACTGTCAAATCTTTACCTCGAAGCGGCCGGCTAAGATTATTTAGTGATCGAACTCTACTAGACCTGGCAGTGACCCTCCGAGGGTCCAGCGACCCGCCAAGACCTGGAGTTCTACATAAATATACATAAAACATGGTTTATAAGCATATTATTTCCTATTTAGGATAGCTATGTATACATAATTTTCTTGGCGGGTCTAGGATCCTGACTTTAGACCCTCCTTAGCGCCTTGGCGGGTCCAAATGGAGGGTCACTGCCAGGTCTATATAGAGGTATACCAGAACAGCTGTAAATAACAGTATTTTAAGAAGCTGAATTATCTAATTTATACGTCCGAAATAGGAAAGGCGGGGAGAAATCATATATTTGAGGGTCGATAAGGGTCGATACGGGTGACCCTCAAGGGACCCTTAGGGATTAGGGTCAGGGTCAGGGTCGGTAAGGATCCACCAGTGGTGGATAGAGAGATCGAAGGCTCTCGGCGCTATCCAAAGGATCAGTTGCCACAATAACATGCATTTTCATGGCAAGGGCATAGTTTATCATGGCCTGGAGAGTATGACTGGTTGATCCAACCAAAAGCACCGAGGAACTTGAGTTGAGGCGGCCGATTTTGGTGAGGATTTGGTAAGCATTGAGATATGCGAGAGGAGTTGATATCGCCTTTGTTGGGTTGGTGTTTGTAGAAATTCTGATAGTGTCACTTTCTAGGACTCGCATTGTTGTCGAGAGTCCCGAGTCCGTCGATGCTAACGTTAAAACTTGATCGCCAACAGCCGAGTCGTGCGCATCAGATCCAATACGAGTTACCTTTCCAACGATTTCGAACATCGGAAGGGCTGTATCTGGTGTCTTCCCGTGATCACCGTGTAAATCAAAGATTGTGACCATTTCAACATTGATTTCAGTGTGATCTGGGCGAGGTTGCTCTTCGGAGAGTTGTTGTTCCTCCCATCGTGCATTTTCTACATCATGGAGCTTCAACTCGAGGGGTCTTGGATCAAGTGCCAACTCTGACAGCACAGGCCTGGGGCCGTGCACCAGAGTGTGCATGGCCTCGACCACCGCCGGGGTCTCAAGGACCCGTGGAACGAGCAGTCGACCATTTGCTAGACGATATACCAAGTCTGGCCGGCGGGTACTCTGCTGTGTTGTGAGCTGCATAACCTGGAGAATGCCACATGCCAGTCCGAATTTGTCTTCCAAATCTTCTACGTCCACCAAGGGGTGTGAGATCGTGGTGTTCCACTGCTCATTGCGAAGTGTTCGCAATAGGCCGCCCATTGCACCGGATCCAATATTATTGACGTCTCCTTGGCTCCAGGATGGCGATACCCAAAGGACGTATTGAACTTGGATGAGCTCTCGAAGGCGGTCCAGATCACTTTCCGTCCAGCCAGACACCCAAGGACTTGCCAAGTCAAGCAGCGCGATCACAGTCTTCCCTGCTAGTGTGCCTACCTTTTCCAATCCAACAGGAACCAAGCGAACTTTATGGGTGGCAAAGATGTTCTCCAGGTGCTCAAAAACAGGGGATGAGTTGGAATTTTCTACTGGACTCAAAACATAGAATTCCGAGTCTGTCGTCCATGAGAGTGGCATCCTGCGGGCGATGATGAACTTGTGATCTTCGGTTGTGCTGTGAAGTTCTAGGCCATCAAAGCGCTGCAGCTTCTCCGCTGCTGCGTCTAGGTTGGTATCTGAAACACGCATAGCTGCTATACCTCCATGTTCAAGGATGTTCGGAAGGCAAGACAAGATAGCTTGGGTAGTTTTGTCATCCCACAGCCTAGGTTCATCAATCACGATCAAATCATACTTATCCTGAACAAGTGACGACGACGGGAGTTCATCGAGCGCAGCGAGGGGCATGAGTTGAGCTCCTGAAGGGCTGTTGTCCGCGAGATTAGTGACCTCTGCCTCATTATCGAAACCGCATGAAGCGATAATGACCTTTGCTAGGCAAGGTCGCTTTCCGTCGCTTGGGATAAGTTCTTGGAGATTCTCGATCCAAGAGCTTGATGGGCTCGAAGTAGTGATGAGAGCTATGGCATCCCCATTGGTATGGCACAGTCGCTTGATCCAGTCTGTCAGCTGGAGACTGCTCGCTTCCACGGCCATATTCTTGTTTCCGTCATGGATCTTTCTGGTCACAAGTGGCGACTCTAAGTGTTCATCCCAAACAATTGACGAATATCGGCTCTCCTAAGACGCTTCCTCTTGCTTCTGAGAATTGGGGTTGAAAGGTAGGCGACCGAGATGGACACCTTCAAACGTGATCCAGGGCTGCGACCAGCAGGGGTCCGACGCGATACAGTGGGACCGCGATTGCCCATCTCTCCACTTATTCTCTGTGTGGACAACAAATGGTTCACCTGGCTGGGGTTGGAACTTATTGGAGATATATATGTTATCCACTCCGACAGGAATATTAGCGTTGTTGCTGGACAGTGCATTGGAGCAAGACAAAAGAGCAGACTGGAAGAGGCAATCAAGAGTTGTAGGGTGAATAAAACTGGATGACTCCTTTTCGAAGGGCATTGATTGTTTTGTGTTTGTGACCACCCCAGATAGCCAGATACGAGGCTCTAAATCGCAGAAGGAAACGCCAGTGATTGTCTGGAAAGCCGGTCCTACGGCAAGTCCTCCAGTTTGAGACAACCACTCACGTGCTTGTCTCACATCGGCCATTTTTCCGACTGTTTGGGTGTTCTTGATGCGCTCCAACGCTGCTTCCCAGTTCAAGTTATGCTCATCATCTTCTCGGTCCTCGTATCTTGTAATGAATGCGCCCTTCGCGTGTTGAATCCAGGCACCCCCGGAGGGCAGTGAGAAAATTCCGAATTGATACCAGCCTGGCATGCCTGGGTGAGGCGAGACCTGAAGGAGAGTTTCCAAACCTCGTTCTTCATCTGGAATAACCACTCCTCGCATGAAGCGAATGTCTTGGAATTCTATTCCCTTGATATTGGCCTGGTTATCGGCAAGTTGCCGCGCTGCCTCGGTTGCCATCACCAACATGCCCGCGGCTGGGAACACAATCGATCCTGCAACAACATGATCGGCCATCCATGGATTCTCCGAGAGTCTTAGGAATTTTCTCCACCGTGGCTCCAAAGCGTTTTGATAATCCACAGCAGCTCCCAAGATATCATGACGCGGATGCTTCCGCTGTTTCAATTGCGTTGTCTCTAATGGCTCGTGCCAGAAGGACGTTTGGTGATTCCAGGGATAGGAAGGCAAATCCGCAATCATAGTTGGGCTTGTAGTGTCAACACTGCTGTTTACCACGGCAAGGTCTACTGTATGTCCTGTGCTCCAAAGAGACCCAGCAACTTCAAACGCTGTTTGCAAAGCATGCATGTTGCGCGAAACTAGCAAATAGTAAGGCAATGATGCCATATTTGGGTTGACAGACTGCAGAATTTGAGAGACAGGTCCTTTCAAAACGGCGTGCGGGCCGATTTCGACCAATACAGTCCATTTGATTGGAACAGGTCGGCGGCGGGACTTGATAGACTCGCTTAAGTTTGCGAGCTGTGATACTGCGGCAGTAAACTCAACTGAGCTGAACATGTTGCGTACCCAGTAGGGTCCACCAAGCTCGGCGGGGTAGACACGCTCTTTTGTGACCGATGAGAACATAGGAATTGAACCACTGTATCGATCCTGCGGCTTGATACAACTAATAGCATTACCTACAACTTCAACAAGGTCCTACATGTGAGGGGAATGATAAGCTGTATTAATACGCAACTTTCGGGCAAAGTGGCCATCCTGTTGTAACCTTGCTTCGAGTTGGTCAATGAAGTCCACATCGCCTAAAAGGGTTGTACTGGCAGGACTATTGACACAGGCAACCACAACTGAACGCGGGGGAACCTCGTCAAGGTATTTCTGCACGTCTGCTGCGGATATACCAGTAGCGAGCATACCTCCTCGTCTGTCACTCTCGGCCATCTTTTGCGAAAAGAAACCGCGGAACCATGCGACTCGCATAGCGTCTTCGCGGGAAAGATATCCAGCAGCATATCCGCCGGCTATATGTTAAACGTCAGCTGCTACTCACAGCAGTATATCTTTCGTAAGGGAGAATAATTAAACGTACCGATTTCGCCGCTAGAATGGCCAACAACTGCGTTTGGATAAACTACCCAACTAGCCAAAAGATCAACCAATGCAATCTGCAAGGCGCAGGTGATAGGCTGGCTGCGATCGGGTCGATTAATTTGACTGTCTTTTGCTTCTGCCTTTAGCTCCTCAACCATATCAAAGGGACATCCTAGGGACGAGATAATGTCCTGTGATCGTGCCATGCTTTCTCTGAAAATAGGAATTCTCAAAAGCTCCCGGCCCATTCCAGCCCACTGACCACCCTGACCTGTGAACACAAAGGCAAGTCTTGTTTGAGCTTTACGACTAGCTCGAGAAAACTTGGGAAGTCCCCTGTCCAAGACGCTCTGAAGCTGGTCTCGTGAGTTAGCAACCGCGAAGCTGCGGAAGCCTAAATGCGATCAGCGTGTCAGCATTGTATGAGCTAGATCTCTGAGTGAGATCTCCTGCTCGGCCTTTTGCTGGTGTTGAAGGAATGTGTTCCAATTTTGACCGGTCCGTTCAATGCCAGCTTGGTCAAATGTAGAAAACACCACCACATGAGGGGCCGGCTCGCTGTCTTCAGCATCGCCCCGAAAGGCTTCTTTGGTGCTTTCGAGGATTATATGCGCATTTGATCCACCGAATCCAAATGAGTTGATACTGGCCCGCTGTGGAAGATACTCCGGCCAGGGCATCGTCTTGTCGCTCAGACACAAACGCCAATCATCGAGCCGGATCTTGGGATTGATGTTTTTGAATCCAGCGTTTGGTACCAATATGCCCTTTTCTAAACATAGAACAACTTTGATCAAACTAGCAACTCCTGCGGCTCCTTCGGTGTGACCAAAATTTGTCTTTACTGAGCCTACGTATAGTGGCTCATCAGTTGGTGTTTGTGCCTGTCCCAACGTCATTCCAACAGCGGACAACTCTAAGGGATCCTATTCATCATAAAATTAATAAAAATAACTCTGGGGTAGCCATCAATATAATTCTTTTACTTACCCCGACCGGAGTTCCAGTTCCATGGGCTTCAAAGTAAGCAGTGTCTCTCATTGAGATACCATACCGTTCATAAACCGAACGAATCAAATTGGCTTGCGATATTGGGCTGGGAAGTGTAATTCCAGGAGTACGACCATCCTGATTAATTCATGTGCCGCGGATAACGGCTCGAGTATTATCTCCGTCGGCCAATGCGGCGCTGAGGGGTTTCAAAAGCACAGCACCGATGCCCTCTCCTCGGCCGTATCCAATTGCAGACTCATCAAATGAATGACTTATTCTATCTGGACTCATCATATGCATATAGGAAAGTCTTTGTGTAAAATTAGGGTGCAAGATGAGACTAGCTCCAGTTACCAGGGCCTGTGACAAGTATATTTAGTCTGTGTCATTTGCAAATGCATACAAGTCCCAGTGCTCACCATTCCACACTCCCCAGATCGCAGGGACTGGGCTGCTAGATGGACCGCGGTCAAACTCGAGGAACACGCAGTATCCATCATGATACTCGGGGCTTGGAGATCAAAGAACCACGACAAGCGATTTGCGAGCATGGTCCTCCCATTGCCAGTAGCCGAGTTGTGAGGCATATCGTAGATATCTCTTGTCGATAATAGCTCATAATCATTGGTCATTGAGCCAGAATACACTGCTGTGTTGCTTCCCGGAAGGGTGTCTATTGGTATTCCGCCTGTTTTGCCCATTTTAGCTTGACTGTTTTTCCATAAATATTTGAATTTCGCCTTTTTTTTTCTTACTGTTTTCAAACGTTTCATAGGCGACTTCGAGCAACAAACGCTGTGCTGGGTCCATACCCGCCGCCTCTTTAGTTGTGATAGAGAAAAAAGGAGCATCAAATTGTGATGGATCTTCCTGCAAAAAGAATCCACTATCGTGATTGATCTAATCCCATGATCTTGATGTTAGAATCATAAATTAACGTTGAATTGAGGCATCCATACCGCTCCTTGACGCTCATGGCTGGGGTGATGCCAAGCTGAAGCTTCATATCGACTCGTGGGAACCGTCCCATACCCAGTACGTCCATCGCATAGCATCTGCCAGAAGCTCTCAACAGAGTTCGCTCCTCCAGAGAAGCGACACCCCATTCCAATGACTGCAATTCCCTCCATATCTGCAGGGGCAGCAGTAGTCTTCGGTAAGCCAGGCATCATGTAGGTATGGAATAACAGAGGACAGGTTTGGACAAGATTATAGTGAAGGGACGGTGTGGGGTATTATATGCAATCCTGTGCATTCCAGGTTCGGCAAGTCCCCGTGCTGATTGCAGACCATAAATCTGGCAAATTTTGGACGCTACGTAAAGTATCGCATACTCACATGCATCTTTTACTGGCTATCTAAACATAACATGTAGTGGAGACCTAGACTCATTAAACAGCGCTATGGAAGATGTACATACGTACTTTGTACTCCGTACATCGATGTACATCATTTTGGGCTTGGCTTGGCGAGAGCCTCTCTTTCCTACTCTATAATTAAAGGTCTAGTTATTGATCCAGCTAATGCAGTTGAATCTCATACTCCATTCTCGTGCAGCTCCAATGCCAGACTCAATTCTACCATTTCCTGTAAGCTTAGGCCTGCTTGGATACTTCTACAGCGAGGATCACGAGAATGCTGTCAGGTGGAGACTATATACTCCGCAGATCAACGAACCAGATCGTCAAAGCTTCATAGACCACAGACGTTTATGTAAAATCTATTGTGACAACAGAATGCAGTAATTAGGTATACTTCGCAGATTATCAATCTTCCGAATTCCGACCGACATGGCCCGCTCCACTATATATTAAGCCCTCGGCGCACTGAGCCAATGTTAACAACCGAATGTTGCCTATCAGGAGTTCTTTTGATTCTTCGTTTTATAGAATTCTGCCACAGTGGAGAAACACTACTTTCCCCTTCTCGGCCCCCAATGTGAGGGTTCCACTTGGGGGGATTCTCCGGCGTTTTCCTTACATGGATGTATTTTAGAGAATATCAATCTTGCCTGTTCCCTGCCCAGGTGGACTACCTGGAGGCTTAGCTATCAAACTGTTATTATCGTGTGACAATAATAATCTCGAATTGGAGATTTCTGGCAATTTGGGGACCCGGCACCGGGCTACCGGATCTCAATGTTCCACGAGATCGCCTGGGCTATAAAAGCTCATTTTACAATTTACAATTTACAATACAATACTCCATAGTAATTGAATTTATTGCGGATCCTAACACTTGCCCCTCACCCCCACGTAGATCTTCTATAAAATATGGAGTACGTTTTACTTGCGTTTCGACGATCCTAGAAGCTATATGCAGTAGTCTATCACTAGCGAGCCAGATTCTTGCGTAGGACACGTCAAAAAAACGAAAAAAGAAGACATATAAAATCGTGCTTTCTATGAGCTCTTCAATAGTTCAATCTGGCCCTGAATCCTCAATTACTCTAAGACCCTTTAAGCCACATACGGAGAATTACATACGGAACAATAATATCCATCGCTTTCAGAACCTCCAATTTGTTATTTAAACAATTTATCTAAAAAATGTTTCGGCTATACCCCGCCTTTCTCGCGCTCTTTATTGCCCCTCCACGTCGTGACATCTATTGAGAATGACCACTCAAAGCGCCATCATCGTTCAAGGAACTGGCCGCGCGGCGCTGGTAGAAGATATCCCGCTACCTGAATTGCCGGATAATTATATTCTCGTCAAAACAAAAGCTGGTATTTTCTCCTTTTGCTCCCATTCGTCCCGATCTTTCATGAGCAACTGGACTAATACACTATGAAGTCGCATTGAATCCAACGGACTGGCGTCATATTGATTTTGTGCCCTGTACCGGGGCTACCGTCGGCTGTGACTATTCTGGAATAGTAGAAGCTGTAGGCCCAGGCGTGAAGAAAGCTTTCAAAAAAGGCGATCGGGTTGCTGGGTTTGTACACGGTAGCAATGCCGTTCGCCACAATGGCGGCGCACTTGCTCAGTATGTAATTGCGAAGGGCGACCTCCAAATTTTGATCCCTAACTCCATGAGCTTTGAGGCAGCAGCCACTTTTGGTGTTGGTTTGACAACTGTTGGTCAAAATCTCTACCAGAGCATGGACTTGCCTTTCCCCGGCGACCAGGAGAGCGAATCAGACGACACAAATATCCTCATCTATGGAGGGGCGACGGCTACTGGTACCCTGGCAATTCAATTGGCAAAATTATCAGGGCTGCGAGTGGTGACTACATGCTCTGAAGCCAACCGCAGCTTCATGTTTGAGCTCGGGGCAGACTCAGTTTTTGATTACCGCGATCCACTAGTAGGCGAGCACATACGAGAGGACACTGACGATGCTCTGGAACTTGTCCTTGATAAAATCTCCACGCCCCAATCGGCTGCCATCTGCAGTGCTGCTATCTCATCAGCGGGAGGTTCCTACAATGCCCTATTGGATGTTCCCTCCGCCAGAGATGATGTTGATTCACATGTCTCAATGGCGTATGACGTGCTGGGAGAGCCGTATCGCATGGGAGCAAGTGAGATGTCTCCCGATAGCACTAACTTTGAGTTCGGCGTTAAATGGTGGGGAAAAGCGCAGAAACTACTTGAGGAGCGCCGTATTCACCCTCATCCATTTCAGGTGAAGCCAGGTGGCTTGGCTGGAGCGTTGGCCGGCCTCCAGATATTACGGGAAGGTAAAGTCCGAGCCTCAAAGCTAGTCTATCGGGTCGAAGAATCGGAGTGAACTATCAAAAAAGCAAGCATTTCTTGACTTTTCTTGTATCAAAGTTCATTAAGGGGCTGATCTTCTATAAATATGTGAGCATGACTCGACTGTGTATATAGGGAGCCGTGGACTCTATTAGCCTTCCTGGTGTCTCTTGTAGGGTGATATGATCCAATGATTTTGTATTTCAGCTTGAGAGAGTCAGAACAATGACTGGGATGAGAGAGGTGAGAACGAGTGACGATTCTAACCTAGGGTGTGATAGGCGCTGACACACTTGAAGGTATTCCCGTACTAAGTAACAGATATTGTAACCTCTTAGGCCTTTGGTTGACTCTACTATAATTTGCTTTGATATATTTCGTAACAAAGGTGAATATCCACAGATTTAGAACGTTCAATGGGCTTCGAGGGCCAATAACACAGGTGATGCTCACCCTCTATGTATATAGCGCACCCGCCCTCGTCAGCCCTGGTCCCTCGGCACCCAAGCGGCACTCCAGGATGAGTGCGAGATATATAGGTGAGAGATAATTTTCACCCAGGGTTTATAGGGGCCAACATGCGAATATACACCTTCGCATCTATCCTAAGCAAAACACTTAAATTCATGCTCTAGGGCCTCTTGCTCTACTATGATTCACTCTAATCTAGTTTCTTCTCAGCAGTATAGTCACTTAAAAGAATTTATAGAAATAACTCAAGGAGCATCTAACACGTGCCGTATCATCTAGATTGACACGTGAATATAAAATGAGAAAGAACACGAAGATAATAGGATTTAAAGATCTCCTAGGGTATGTATCTGGTTCTTTGCTCCGAATATTACTAAATGTCTCATCTTCTAGGTGTCTATGGCCAAATTAATTAATTGGTGACTACCATCTTGCAGCAAACTATGAACTCGCCTTTTATACACTGTAAGTCACTAGAATTGTCTAATGATAAATTTGATCTGGCCCTTTTGTGTGGTTGCGTATGCTCTCCTATTTGCCTACCCATGTCTCGTTCAACAGTGAGATGATACAATTGCTTTGTTCCGGCTAGAGTAATAGGGTTGATCAACGTCACGAACAGAATTTCCATCTGTTGTATATTGATGACCGCAATGTTTCGCGGAAATCGGCCCATTTGCCGACTCAAAAATAAGAATTTTCTTGCCGCAAGATAGCAAATTGAGATCACTTGTTTCTCGTCGTACGAAAAACAAGGCTAAGGAGCTTATCAAAAAAAATTGTAGACACTGCATTACTTCCTCAATGGCCCAAAAGGATCGTCGTGCTGTGATATCTCGGCGTATCTACTTCTCGATCTAGCAAAACGCTACCCACAATACCTATAGACAAATGATCTCGTCAGCTTCCGCTCTTGATGAAAACTGTCCCTGAAAGCCCCGGCGAGGGTATGAGGGAAGAAACAGGAGAGCTATTGAAAGCAGGAATAATAGATGTATCTGAACCGGCAATATAATTCTCATCTTTTGGTACATTAAACACATTTGGACAGGCATGTTTGTTACCAGTACACCCATTTCGCATAGAAGAGTCGCAAGATAAGATCATTATCTCCAATCAAAGCACATGTGCTATTGAAAAAGCAATACCTATAAAATGGTAGAATCTAAACTCCGAAGCGGAACTCGCGCACCTTCTTCTGATAGTAGAAAGATGCCAACAACCCAGTTACACCGAGAGCCAGAGGCATAGCGGCCCTAGCCTTTGTCTTAATGATCCTAGGGATTGCAGAGCCCAGAAGGAGGATGCTGTTTCCTAGGGCGAGCTCAGTGCCGTAGTCCTTGTTCTCCTTGATCAGATAACCTATCCACATGGTCAGTTTCAGAATATTTGGGCACACCCACGGTAGAGGGCAGCACTTACCAGAATAAGCATATGAGATGCCGAGTCCAACACCGGCAATCAAGGAAGGCGCTGATCGGGTTCGAAGAAACCCAACGGTACCTCCGATGGGGACTGGTTTTGGTCAGAAACGTTGAGCAACTTGTCTCGGGGCGCGCAGAACTTACGAAGAGCGGCAAGGGTAAAGGAAGGATGTTCGGCCATGATGTTATTTAAGCACTTGAAATAATGTATTCCAAGGGTCTGAAGCTTCAGAATTTAGAACGCTCTTAAGTGCCAGGGGCGCGCAGATCCCGGGGCCCCCCGCTAAATTCCTATGAGTCAGCAGAATGCAGACCTCGGGTTCGGGGCCTCAGGAGCCCGAGCACCGAACACTCATTTTCACGTTTTTTTTGCTGCAAGAACCTCGAAAGCTGGTTGAACATAGACGATTGCCTGAGCAATGGTTTGTAAATTAAACACGGTGAACTCACGTGCGCAGAACATGCAGCGGCTAATGTCCACGGGTGGGCGAGTATGATAACGTAATCAAATGGTTGAACCTCGGGAAACGACCCACGGGAGGATTCCACACTTTGAGGGTCGCCCACCTGCTCCATCCTCTTCAACTATTGAAGTTTGAGACCCATCTATTATTATTGAATATTTGAAGTCTTCGCCTTCTTCATCTTTTTGAGACCGACCGGAATTGCACATCTCGATCTGCAAACCATCAGACTTCCCTCATCACAACTTGGCAGAGGCTTTCTTATTTGTCAACTCCAGTGACTTTTTGTATCGTATACTCCACCCGAGGCCTTCAAATACCGCGTGCACTAGCATGTCGCAGCATGCTCAAGAGCAAGAAGGTACAAGTTCTCTAGATGCGTGGATGCGGAATGAGGGATTGACACCATACGGCGTCAAGTTGCGGTCCGCGCACCCGACTATCTTACTAACATCAAGGGAGACCTATGCGAACTTCCCCCCGAATACCCGGTCTATTACTTTTTCTACGGAACATTGACAGCACCGGCAACCCTTCAACGAATCATCGACCTGTCCGAGGAGCCAAAAATGCGGAAAGCGAAGCTTATCGGATACGCGCTTGCGAAATGGGGCGATTATCCTGCGTTGATAGACGGGAAGTCGGAGCAGGAGATTTCTGGATACGCGTATATTGTGCAGACCGGAGAAGAAGCCCAGAAGCTTGCGTGTTATGAAACAAATGCTTATAAGGAAGCACACTGCTTGATTTATTTTGTCGACAGTGAAAAGCCTACCGAAATTCCAGGAAAGACATTCGTGTATGCTGGGGATGCAAATGCCTTGCTAGAACAGCGATTCGACCGTAAACTGTGGTTGCATCAAATGGCTGGGAAATTAGTGTGATCTTTCCACTTTTGTTTCTCGTTTACATTTTTTGAAGAAAAATTCTTCAAGCTTAATTGATGTGAAGAAGTTCATTATCCGATTCCGCGGAACAAGGATCTACAAACTAGAACTTTCACTCAACGAGCTTCTATGCTCTGGAGGCCTTCATCTTCTAAACCCCCCCCCCCCCCCCCCCCCCCCCCAACAAATAATTTAAGATTGGTTATCGAAAAACGGAGTTTAAGCACTGAATCATCTCCTAGGATACTTCGTAGGGTGGAGTGTGGATGAATTGAATCTAAATCTGTAACCAGCTTGTGCGTTATTACAAGGAACGCTTTGATCTCTCAATTGAATCATCAACTAAAGCAAAGCGCAAGTAATCGAGGCCAAGTTACATTTGGTGTTTACGTATGTACTGAACTAGCTCACTCAGATGTTTGTTTTTTTTGGTTGTACTAGGCCGACCCTCCGGGTCGACCTTTTCTATTTGTACTTATCACATATAGGAGATAAAGGGCCTCCAAGATCACTATAGATCCTATCTATCTGTTGGAGTGGCGTGGACAGCCTCCCGAGCATGGTTAATAGCGGCTTCCAGATCATCCATATTGTCGTTGCGGTCGAATTACGACGATAGGTAGCATGATAAATTGTTCAAATGAGTTGCACGGTAAGGACAATCTGCTGGTAAAGTTTCAAAAACCTCCAGTGCATGATTGATGGCGTTGTTCAACACTTCTATCTTTCCCGTTTTCTCGTAATCTTCGAATAAACTTCCATGCCAGGTTTCCTGTAGCTGCCACCCAACCCGCATCCCCCTTAACCAGTGCGGCGGCTATCATCTCTGTCTCTGAAACCTTTGCCTTGCTTTGGGCCAAGCTCAGCTTCCAAGAAATCTCTTCAATACCGAGACATGGCTTGGAGTCATCTGCATGTCGTCCATAGCACTACCGCACTAGCTCCCCGGCCAACCGCTTGACATCGCGCGCACTGGCCCAGGTCTGCACTTGTGCGAGTTTGGCAAAAATTTCCATCACTTCTTTGCTGCCTCTCCCGTCTTCCACAATCTCAATGCCCACAGATGTCAGCTCCCTCTGCATGAGTTTCCAACATGCCTCCGCAGATAACGGGTAGAAGACCATCTCGGTCGGGAAACGACTACGCAGACCCCGGTTCATCTGCATCAGCCGAGCCATCTCGCGATCGTATCCTGCCAGAACCACGACCAACTTTTGAGCGTATCGCGTCTTGGTCAGCCGGTCCACCAGCTCATCGACCGCTTGCCGCTCGTACTCGCCATCCGCTAGCCGATATGCCTCGTCGATAAAAACTACCTTGCCTAGCGCCCGCTCCAGCCAGTTCACTATGCGATGCCCTGTCTGTCCTGGGTGAGGTGCGACGATGTCGCTGGCCGAGCACTCTATCAGTTCAGCCTCTGATAAAAATCCCATGTCGTAAAATATTCGGCCCACCTTGCGCGCTGTGGAGGTCTTCCCTGTGCCCGGTGGGCCTCGGAAGACAAATTTAAATGGGATGTATGGGCGAGGATCGATTTTGTTTCGCCACATACCCGTCACTGCGGTCTGGTATTCTTGCAGCTGATGTAATATCTGATCCATACCGATCAGCTCCTTGAAGTGGCCTTTGCAATCGGCTGCTGCCTGTAGGTGTCGATCGTAGTTTTGATCAAAGTCTTCCGGTGTGAGAATAGGATCTGTCGATGGCTCTGACTCTGATACCGCTGCAGTTCGTGTGTTGTATGAGTCTTGGGCGCGATCTAGGAGATTCGCAACCTCTCCCCCATTTCCAAAGTTGGGTCGTTCTAATGCTCTTTCCAACATCTGCAGCGCAACCTTCTGCGCCTCGAGTGTCGCCTGCAAACCTTTCCCCTTCAGCTTGAAGTCTAGTATCTGGCCTAGCTGGTCCACAGTATAGTCTGTGAAGTGGATTGCATGCGCTAGGTCAAACCGACGAGCCAGTCCGGCGTTGCTCTTGCGGAACATTTCCTGCATCTGCTCCTCGTATCCAAGAAGAATCACACAACAATCGCTCCCCGGTGAGTTATCTATCTCGGCAACAAGGGTGTCAATCACGGCAATACGAAATTCGTCTCCCTCATCGTGCGCGCCCGACCTCGATCCAGGGTACAGCATATATGCATCGTCGATGATTGACACGTTCCCTTTTGCTTCCTTCAAAATTTTCTTAGTTCTGTATTCAGAATGCCCCACATACCCAGCGATGAAGTCGGATGGATTCTTGATGATGACCTTTCCGCCCGACAATAACCCGAGATCAGCCAAGATTTGGCCATAGAGCTTTCCGACTGTAGTCTTTCCTGTTCCTGGTGGCCCAAGGAACACCTGGTTGAGAGGAGCTTGTATTGGCTTTTTGCCCTGCTGTGAGCGACGGTAGTTCTGGACCACACGACAGAACAGGCTATGTACGCTCGATTTGACAGCCTCCAGGCCAACCATCGCCTCAAGGTTGGTCCATGCAGCGCTTTGGCGGTGGGCCACGGTTGGGTCGGGCCCAATGAGGTCATCCTTGGTGATTAACAGAGAGTCTTGATGCTTTCCCTGGCGCGTTTCCTGGTATATCCGCTCTCTGTGTCGGCGTAGGACCGTAGTCCACGCATCGTTAAGCGCGTGCATATTGCGGAAGCTAGGTCCGCGCATGCTCCCGAGGATATGAATCATCATCCATAGGTATTTGACGTGTGGTCCACCCTGAATCTTCCACCGTGTTTTAGCAGTTAACTCTACTAAGACACGTCGTAGATCATCGTCAGAGTAGTCAGGTAGCTGGAGTATGGCTTCCTGGCTAACTGTTTGATCTTTTGTGTAGGTATCCGCGTAGCCACGTAAGTCTAATTCTCGAAGGAATCTCCCATACAAGCGCTCGATTAAAGACTTGCCTGTTGGTGTTAGTACTGAAAATCGCCATATAGGATATGACACCCACCTGATCCTGAATTCCCGACTATAGCGATATCCCAACCACTGCGCGACTTCTCCCCTTGCTTCTTTGCAATTTGTATTCTCCCCCATGTCTGAAGAAAAAGGCCTTGGCATTTTCCAACCTCACGAGCTGCATCAGTTTATCTAAACTTGCACTCTGTGCTCCTTTAGTATCCTTCAGATAAATCCACTCTAGCCGGGAGGCGGAGTTATCCTTTACTGCCTTGAGAGGATCATCCGCGTATTTTGGTGGTTTCTGAAAGAGAGGCTACAGTGATGCGCAGCGATTCAGAAACTCTTTCGTCGCAGGTAGCTGTTGTGACTGCCTTTCTCCCTCCGGATTGTCCATTTTTGTGGTAGGGAGTAAAGTGTAGAGAACCTAGAAGATAGTTTCCAAAATTCTTCGATCATTTCTCAACTGATCACTTGATTTAGAGTAATATAAAGAGAAGCACCCACTAGGGGACTCATCTACCTGCTTTACCACTCAATTGCCGTAGTTCCAAGATATAGATCAATCGATTGTGTCCACGTATCTTTCCCCACTTTATCCCCTTCTTTGTATGCGAACTAAGCGCCAACGTAGTGTGCCTCTCACGCGTGCATTGCATTGGACTTCGTTCGCTGGGAGTTGCTGAAATGAATCCCAAGTATTTACAAGGCTCATCTCGCAACAGTGGTGGTAAGGCATTCCCTTCAAGACAATCCCTAATTAAACTAGTGCTTGTCAAATATCACTCGGCCCCGCCGAAATATGGTCCAAAATACCGCAGTTCATGCACAGCAAGCTTTAGAACTCCAATTATCCGCCACCTTATCCCTCGCTGAGGCTCCAAAAAATCTTGTCGGCCACATGAAAAGTTAATCTGCAGTCCACAACCTTTTTCAGATTAAGTAACATATACCTATGAGGTACAATTAGCAGTTCATCTTGCTACTTCCTCCCACATGTGCATCCTTAGATCGCCAATGAGTCGATCTAGGTCAGTCGCGAACCCACTCATCACGTATCCCATTAGGACACGACAGCTCGAGAAGGAACGCTAATGCATATATACCTACTTCCTTTTTTTGCTAGTAATACTAATACTAATGATTAATACTAGGATGAAGCTCATATCATTTTCTTTGTTCAATTAACCGTACTTATTCGAAATAATACCATATTTATTACCAGTGGCGCGGATGCATTAGCACGAGTTCTCGCCCAAGTTGTCGTGGTAGGGTACATACCGCTATCGAGACGAGCACTATTCATAGGACTAGCCTCATCATTTTCTGTGCTACCTACAGAATACATGCGATGCATCAGGCTACAGGGGCTAGGCATTGCTTCTGTGACATACACATCACACTCCAATTAGTACTGTAGCCATAGCGACAGCCTTAGATAGCCAGTGTACCCTTGTCTAGCCCGCCTTCACTTTGGCTGCCATTCGGGTTCGTCAAGACTGGGCTATAGACATCGGCTATAGACATCAACCTTGCTAAAATCCTCCTCCTCTGCGGCCTCGGCCTACAATACGTTTTTTTAAATTCAAATCCTCTGCAGGCTATCAGAGATGGTGACGGATAACCCGCCTGATGTTCCCTCGCAGGTCTCCAAACGAGCCCTCCTCATCGCAAGTCCATCCGGTGCATTAAAAGGCCTAGAACTCGATGTCATGTTAGTCAACGACTTGCTAGAAATACATAGCTTTAAAACTTCTCTCTGTATTGTTTTTTTCTTTCTTTTTCGCAAATTGAGAAGACATACTGAATAGCTAGGAAAGGTTGATTTCAGACGTTCAGCAAAATGATACAGTTCTCATCTACAATTCGGGACGCTCTCTAAGGATTAGAGCTCCGCAAAGCCCAACCCAACCCACAGCCCATTAGCCCCCATTAATAGCCCATTCAGGGGGTTCAACTAGTGTCTTGTAATCGCTGTATTCTGACCCTTCTGCTAATTAGATAGAGTTCAAATTTATAATTTATAATAATAGACACGGAGTATATAAGTGTATATTCTAGTTATAAACAAAATTCGACTAGTAGAGGTCCAAAAAAGGATGATATATATTTTGATATTAGATATTTCGGATTCATACGGTTCTAAGTTGACCTCTATAATTCAAACCCTATCTCAATAACGCGTTTTTTTAACGTTTTTAGACGTGATATAGAGAGATAAGTAGTAATTAATTCTGAATCATTTAAAATAATAAATTATTACCTTTAGGTGAAGGCTTAGAAACGGGAGTAAAACGAAGGGTAATTTTAAAACTCTTAAAAGGGGGTTCAACTTTACTTGGCATCTAAATTCTCCGCATGTTTATACTGTTTGGGGCCCATTAACCTACAGTGGGCTTCTACCTTAGGCCCATAGCCCATCGCTGGACCCGAGGCGGGGCCCAAAACCCAGCCCATTTGCGGGTTGGGCTTGGGCTTTGTGGGCTCTGTGGAGGCCTACTAAGGATCAAACCAAGGCGAGGCGTTACCGGTTCAGTGTGCACATTCAGCGGCACATAATACTATTCAAGTTTAGAATAGTTAGTTAGTCAGTGGTGTTTAACTTATTTAGATAATTAGGCTAAATAGGGCCAAGAGACAAACGAATCAAAAAAAGAACAAAAACATACAACAGTGAGGATTCGCTGGTGGTCACCCACCCAACTACTAACTCACCGGCGTGTGGCTTGAGTACGGCTGAGCGGACGGGAAGCCCTATTTTCCACACCCTATGGTCGTATGTATTTCGTTACTTGTAATAAAGAATCATAATGTAAAGGATTAAAAATGGTTGAGGGTTGGTGTGTGCGACCCGGGTGGATGAGGGTGAGTGCGCTATAGGCAGGGTGAGTATCACCCTCCGCTGTGGCCGTCGCATTAACCCTCTCAGCTGAGCAGAAGTGGAATATTATTGACAAGTATACTACCTCCATAGGTCAGCTTACTGCTGTTGGTCCCTGGATATGTAAAACCAGGCCTAGAGATTAATATCTACCTTGGAGCTTGAGGTATATTCTTTGATTCAAGTTTCCGATACTCAATACAGCTGATAGTCCTAAGGGCTATAAAACTATTTTCAAAGCTAGTACCCTTAGTGACGCTTGACGCCACCTTGTAAACCATTTCAGGAAAGTAGGATAATTCATTATAATATATAATGTAGGAGATCTGACCCCGGATACTAAAGGTCTTCAGATAACAGAGACTGCTTTAGGAAGTAAAAATGTCTACAAATATATGTATCGAAGGACAGAATCGTATGAGGAGACCTATATCAAGAAACCTCTTTAACTTAAAATGGGCCCGATATGCTCTCTTTGCGCGCATGACCTAGGAAATACATATAAATAACACCAATATCTCTTGAATTCCCAAATCACTGAATCCGTTCTACAACCAGCTCAAATGGAGTTTCCGGTACTCCATGTAACACTTCTTCCACCATAGCTGATTGGAATTTGCCCTGCAAAGCGTGGATCTTCAACATGATTGTCTCCAAATCCCCGACAAGAAGCCGCGTCTTTTCCTCTCCAACGATGCTGCTGTCAAACATGAGACGCACATCCAGTGCCTCTAGCGCCCTCTCCTGAAGTACTAGGGATATATCTATTGATAGTGCAATTCCGTCATTATTTAGCACCGAGAGCTCCTGTCTGAGCAGTCCCATCTTAGCCGTAGGCTGCTCTGTGTATGGATCATACGGATGAACAACGACCTGAGGCGCGCCGTGACAAGCATCGTGCGCATCGGAATGCAAACGCGCAACCTCTTCCAGGTCAACGTGCTCGAAGGGTGTTGGTTGTCGGGCCTGGTATTGGACATGTGAAAGGTAATCGTGCAGGGTGCTTTGTTCCTTGTGATTGATACGCACTGGAACCCTTGTGACTGTGGGACCGATCAGATCCTCAGTAAGTGGAAGGGAGCGACCGATAGAGATCAAGTCGAGGATGGTGTCTGGGACTTGAAGCTGCTTATGGAGTGCCAGCCCGAGGGCGGCATAGACCATGATAGCAGGTGTGGTGGAGCTACCTGTCGCCATTGGTGCTGGGAGTGAGATGCGATGACGTATGATACTGTCGGTATTGGAGCCCTCATATGATGGGGCTAAGGATGAAGTCTTCGCCCCAAGAAGATATTTGCTCCAGAAATCAAGTGCAAGGCTCTGATTCTGTTGTTGGATGGCTTTCACAAAATAGTTGAATCCAACAATGGTAGTTTCCGACATACTTTGAATATTACCTTGATCCGCTGAACCAAGATATTGTCGCTGGAGTAATTCACAGACTTTTGTTAACGACCAAGCGTCGTATACAGCGTGGTGGAATTTCAGGACAAAGTACCGCCGCGACTCGTATGATACTATCGAAGCGCGGAGTAGTGGCTGCCCGTTTGTGAATTGGCGCTCACGAGAAGCGATGAAAAATTCATCTAGGGACACTCCAGAAACGTGCTGTACTGTGTGTGGCTCGCTCAGAACGGCCTGCAAATGCCGACCGCTGTGGGCGAAAATACGTGTGCGCAAGATAGCGTGCAAAGAGACGACAGCCTGCCATGCCTGTTCGAGCCGGACCTCGTTGACCTCTGAAGATAGTTCGAAAGTATTGTGTAGCCAGTACGCCTCAGAATGTGTTGCAGTCCTTTTTATCATTGAACGTTGGATGGGCGTGCATGGGTAGATGTCAACAATCTCGTTAGTCCGTACCCCACAAACGGAGGCAGCTTTGGAAATGAGCGCATCTAGCCCATCTGCTGCATAATCTGTTGGTAGCAGGGAGAATGCGTCGATCTCGGAAACAGCGTTGAGAAGATCCGCCGGAGATCTTTCTTCTATGGCGCTTGCGAGTTTGCCCAGACGGGGATGGTCGTACACATCTTGGACAGATAGGGGAGTACCAGCGGCATGTGCCAGGGAAGCTAATTTCATAGCCGCGATTGAATCGCCACCGCATTCAAAGAAATCAGCTTCAATACCAAATTCATCTGACTGAAGCATCAGCACAGAGCTCCAGAGCGAATGAAGAAGCTTCTCTATCCGGCTCTGCGGTGGCAGTACCTCTCTATGCGACGAGAGGGAGAAACGTGCCAACTCAGAAATATCCAAGTTTCTAGCAAGGGCGCCTAGAAGCTTTCGATCCATCTTTGCTGATGCGCTCAGTGGCATGCTTGTCAAAGGGACAAAGAAACTAGGAATCATGTGGCTTGACAGCCGCGAGGCGAGTTGCTCTCGGAGAGAGCTGGTACGTTCTTGGAAGGCTAGAAGTCCTCCGTCGTCGGTCAAAACAGCAGGATTGCTCCGATCCTGTGGCTGGTCCGCCGGGGTGCAGCTAATGAACGCGATGAGACGGGAGCCAGTGAGCTCGTCGGGGATCTTGACCATTTCCACGGCAACTTCAAGGTGGTTGTCACCTAGAGCTAGGCGAATTGTATTTTCCACATCACCAACTTCCACACGCTGGCCATGCACTTTCACTTGTCCATCCTTGCGGCCAAGGAATTGCAAACGACCGTCAGGCAAGAATCGAGCCAAGTCACCGAGTTTGTAGATGCGCTGGCGGTGACCCGGTGGTAGACAAGGTAGACTCTTTGGGAATGCGGCCTCTGTTTTCGCTGGGTTTTTGTAATACCCAGCTGCCACGTTAGGTCCCTCAACAACAAGCTCACCAATTGTACCAACGGGCATCAGACGACTGCTGTCCTCTGGGTCCACGATCCACGTAGCACACCCAACAGACCATCCAACATCCGAGCCATCGTCAGTCACCGTGAAGTGAGGGTGCGCATGGCACCAGATTGAAGTTTCTGCGGGCCCAAAACTGTTAATCAGGTGCAAACGTGGGGACCAAGTCTGGACGTTTGTCACTGTCGCTGTTTCGCCACCAAAAACAAGTGTCTTGAGGGTTGGTACTTGATCAGGGTGAAGCAGTGAGGCCACACTGGGAGTGAGGAAGGCCCAGTCAACCTGCATTCGCTCCATGGCTCCGGAAAGGTCATTCATACGTTCATTGTCAGACGGAATACATACTGTAGCTCCTTGGCTGAGCGACGTGAATATCTCTCCCATGCTGACATCCGAGGTATAGGCCGTGAACTGAAGATTTCGGGAGCCTTTGCGATAGCACAACACCTCCCCATGGCCCTTGATGCTACTACAGAAGGCGAGATGGTCAATCATGATTGCCTTCGGTTTCCCTGTGCTGCCACTAGTAAACAGCAGGAAGGCGATGTGTTGTGGAGTGATTGAACTGGCACAATTTTCACCCTCGAGGTGTTGGACAGAGGAACCAACACAGTAGTATCTTGGAGTAATATCATAGGCTAGTGACTCGAATTGTTCACTGCATAGAATAAAATCGGCATCAATATCCTCAACGAGCGACTTCAAATGATCTGCTGCATGTGCTGGATTTAGAGCTGCATTCGTTGCACCAATCTTCAAAACAGCCAACATTGCGACCACAGTCCAAATACTCTTCTCAAACAGTAGAGGGACCCGGATTCCAGCGCGTAGACCACATGATGTCCAGAGATATCCTGCAAGTCGGTCGGAGAATTCATCAAGCTGCCGGTATGTGAGTGATCCCTCCCAAGAGACCAATGCTTCTGCGTCTGGCTGCTGGTTTACCTGAGCATTGAAGAGATTCTGAACCAGGGCTTCAGTTGGCTTAGGAATGGTTGCGTTCCACGAGAGGATTTCGTCCCTCTCCCCTTGGGGAACCAGGTCCAATTCCTGAAGAAGTTGTGTTTGGGATGCCTCACAAAGTTGATGCACCACATGTGCGAGTTGTTCCAGGAATCTTTCGGCTTGGCGTGGAGCAACAACTCGGTCATCATGGGTCATGTGAAGATGAAGCTCATTCTGAGAAATGGTTGCCTCAAGCACTAATGCAGTGCTGAGGAAGCCATTGGCTAGCCCTGACACATCGACGTAGCGCAGAGCAAAGTCGTCACTGTTCCACTCCTGGGAAGGCTGATCCACTTGGACCACTAAGAGGCTTTGAGTGTCAATGGTCGCCAAAGCACCACGATTATACTGCTTTATATTCTGGAGACCTTCTTGCTCATGGGCTAGCATCTCGGCTCCTTCCGCCTGGACAGTAGCAAGAATTTCGTGTATTGTTGACTGACGTTCCAGGCGAACCCGAACAGGGACTGTAGCCAGCGTTGGGCCTGCAACTGTTGCTGCCGAAGATTGACCAGAAGTACGTCCATACACCGTGGATGGGAAAACGACGTTCTCCGAATGAGAGTAAGCTCCAAGGAGAATGGCAAATGCTGTGCGCATAATGGTGCTAGGGGTGAAATTTCGCTGATCCCCAGCAGGGAACTGTGCTGTCAGCTGCCTGACGGAGGCGGGCTTAGGCCTGAAGTCAGGGGATGGAAGCTCTGGCCATGACGGCCGGTCAGAATCCCACACGTAGCGTTGCCAAAAACGTTGGCTCTCCTCGTTGTTGCGGTTCTTTAAGTTGATGTTCACAAACACACGATACGGAGTTGTCTCTAGCGCGGGAAGACCGAGATAGCACCGACGGAGGGCAGTAAAGAGAAGGCCCAGCATCCAACCATCGTAGATGGCATGGTGGGCAGTCATGACGAAATATTGCTTCTTATCACCCGTATCTGTGAAGGCAGCAAGCCGCAACATACGATCTCCAAGCTGCATATAATCTCGACGGTCAAGCTTGAGATATTCGGAGAGACGGCGAGCACGAACCCATCGCGTCCGCCCCTTGACGACCGCCTGCATCAATTGAGAGGTTCCATTGCTTTGGTGCCATTGGAAGAAGCGTGACCGCAATATGGGCCATTCCTCCAGCAGGGATGCCCAGGCAGACTCGAAGCGAGAACGATCAATGTTGATGGGCAGCTCGTGCACCATTTGTGCGACATACGTTCCTCGTGAGTCTTGGGACGCAGCGAGCAAGCCCTCCTGGAGTGGCGTGCAGGGATAAATATCTTCGATTTGAGCTGCGTCAACTCCTAGTTGCGTGGAGGCAGACCGAACTGCACTGGCAACCATATCCCCATCTCCAAGTGCGGAGAAAGGTGCGACATCCGGGAGTGCATTTGATTCGTCGACAGCTGAGGTGTCATCTAAAATAGCACATTGGGCCATGTCTCGGAGGATCGGATTTTGGAACACCTGTTCAACGGTAATCCGCACATTCTCCTTCCGGGCAAACGAGACTAGCCTCATCGCGGATAGTGAGTCTCCCCCGACACGGAAAAAGCTGTTCTGCCGATCGACTTCGACGTGCCAGCCTAGGGCGCTCGACCATAATCTGGCGAGAATTGTTTCCATGGCTGTGCTCGGAGCCTCCCGTGATTGCACTTCGACCATCAGGCGACTCAACTCCTCGGCTGAAACAGATGATGCGATATTCTTCAACACGCGACGATCTGTCTTTGCCGAGGCAGTCAAAGGCATCTGACGAAGTGGAACAAATCCAGCGGGCACCATATGCCGGGGCAAGATTCCAATGAGTGCACTCTCCAAGCCATGCAGAGTCTGGCAAATGTGGTCAGACTTGTCCGCCAGCAGGTTTAAGACACCCCCTTGGCTCTCAGGAAGTACATCAGGTTCTTTAGGAGCAATGAAAGCCGCTAAGATAGGCGGGGAACCAACAGGCCGAGGATGGACAATGTCTACCGCCACTAGCATATCGCCGTCGGAAAAATATTTGCGAATCTGATGCTCAATCTCACCTAGTTCAATACGCAATCCCCTGAGTTTGACTTGGTGATCACGACGACCAAGGAACTGCACCATTCCATTTGGAAGGTAGCGGGCGAGGTCCCCGGATCGATATAGTCTCATCGATCCTCGGTCTGGCGGCATCCATGCCGGATCATGAACAAAAGTGGCATTTGTCTTAATGGGGTCGTTTAGATAGCCTTGCGCAACATTAGGGCCCTCAACAAGCATCTCGCCGACAGCTCCGATAGGAAGCAATCGATGATGGTCGGTAGGATCAGTTATCCAAGTTGCACAACCAACTCCGAAGCCGATATTGCTGCCAAGGTCATCAAGTGCGACTTTACGCGGGATACAATGCGTCCAAATAGAACACTCGGCAGGACCAAAACTATTGATCAAATGCAATGCTGGGGCCCAGGTCTGGAAGTTCTCAGGTGATGCCGTTTCGCCCCCAAATACCATGGTGCGGAGGGCTGGGACCTCACTGGGGACCAACAACGCTGCCACACTGGGTGTGAAAAAGGCCCAATTTACATTAAGATACCTCATTGCACCAGCAAGGTTGTTCTTACGGTCCCAGTCTGAGGGTACACAGACACAGGACCCAACCGCAAGAGAGGTAAATATTTCTCCAATACTTACATCTGACGTGTAAGCTGTGAATTGGAAATTGCGAGATCCAGGACCCGTAGAAAAGCGAAGAAGTTCCGAGTGGCCTCGAATGCTACTTGAGAATGCTTGGTGGGGGATCAGGATACCCTTGGGCATACCCGTAGATCCGGATGTGAACAGAACGAATGCCGTGTTTTGCGCCGAGACAGGTTCTTCATCACTGAGACGCCGCTGAAGTGGCTGCTTTGATAGGTTCTTTAAAGTTTGTTCATCAATCATAACGGCACGTTGAGCAACCTGGGCAGCCAGGATGTGGTTTTCACGGCTACAGAGAATAGTGCACTTTCCCATGCCACTAATGAGACCTTGTAATCGGTCTTTAGGATGAGCTGGATCTAATGCGACGCTCGAGCCCCCAGCTTTTAGGATGGCAAGCATGGCAATGATTGCAAGCCCGCACTTTTCAAAAAGAAGAGGGACATAACATCCTGGTCCCACACCTAGCGAACGAAGAAATCTAGCGAGTCTCTCTGCCGCATTATCAAGTTGCGAAAATGTCCATTCACCATCACGGGCGCAGATAGCTGGGGAGGATGGCTGGGAGTTTACCTGTGCCTCAAATAGTTCGTGAACGCAGCACGCTCGAGGTGCAGGGACGGTGTTCCACGATAGAATTTCCTCCAAATGGTCCTCAGGCACATGGTGGATGCTTCTGACAGTGGAGGTATGGTTAAATGTGGACATTTGGCGTAGAATGTTTTCATAGTGAGACATGAGACGTCGTACTTGGACTGCTTTCAAGACGAAAGGATCATAACTCATGCGGACACTCACTCCGTTGCTTAACGGGGCTACCTCGACTGCTAGAGCAAAGTTGTAAATGTGAGGGGAAGAACCAGCAATGCCTTTTCCCGCAACAGTCGACACAGAGGCTGTTCTAAATGCTCCAGAGTGCTGATTGGTGCCATTATCGTCTGGGGTGGACTTTAAAACCAAGAGATTCTGAAAATTGCATGCAGTGGCACAGGATTCGTCAATTTCACGAATCATAGAGATATCATACTGCGCATGATCGATGAGTGCTTCCGTCCGTTCTTCGACTATCCGAATCAAGTCATTGATTCGCATATCGGGACTTTCAAACACAATGCGCTGTGGAATGGCCGAGAAGGTTGGTCCCATGACCGTTCGGCTATTGCCATACGTGCTGTTCACACCAATTCCAAATACTACGTCATTAGAATCATAGTATTGGTTGAGAGTGAGTGCCCAAGCCAGCTGGAGCAGAGTTGCACTTGGGGCAGGGCTTTCAACTCCCGACCCAATTGCAGGCAAAGGAATGGTTTTATGCATTGTATCCGTCGTGAGTGGAGCATGGGTGGCTGGGACTTGGGGGAAGGAAGGGGCGTGACAGTCCTCCAATGCTTCAGCCCAGAACATCTTTGACGGTTCATTAAGGGAATTTAATGCACCCTCAATCCAACTAGTGAATGGCATAATTTCCAAATCATGGGTATTTTGACCTCCGATCTCCTGTAGAAAACGAAGCATGGGTTGTGTGGTCGATGGCTCGAAGATGGAGCGGTGGGCAGTGAGAACAATTTCCCGTATTCCATCTCCAGACTGCTTGCGAATGAGAGCAAAGCGTGAAAGCTGCTGGCCGCCGCTAAAGGGAAGTTCGCGATCTGCAGACAAACACTGTTGTACATCCGCCCATTCACTCCATTGGATGGATTCGTTGACAACTGCCTGCAACATACGCAGTTCACGCTTGTTCGATGAGGTGGCTTCCTTAGGACTATGAAAGAATCGAGTCCTCAACACAGGCATCCTACGGTAAAGGTTGTTCCATGCATGGAGAATGTCTGTTTCACTCTGGCCCTCGCGGGGAGTGAAAACGATGTGGGATTTGTAAGCTGTGGGATGTCGCAAAGAGACCATCATCATTCTGGTCTGTGCTGGTGTGCATGGGTAAACATCATCTACAATACTCTCAGAAACGCCGCACTCGACAGCAGCGTGATTTCGAATTTCATGCGCAGGCGAGGAAATGAGCGTGAAAGGTCTTGGAACCATTTCCAGTGGTATTAAAGGCCCACTACCCAGCGATGAGCGGGGATCGATAGGTACGCTTTCAATCTCGCTCATTCTCCTATCTGGATGAGTTGTGAACAGCCGAAGTACCTTTTTCAGTTGTGCGGCGACCTGAATGACCTTTTCACGGTGGATGACCAGACTGTCATACGACAAACGGAGTCGGAGCTTAGAACCACCCCCTAAGACAAAGGGCTCCAGTACCAGAGCGTAATCGAGTGGTTCGACCTTGCCTGGCTCCACAGGTGTCAACAAGTTGCTGCCGCGCCCAGCATCGGCCACCTGAACGTTGACCAAAGTTCGGAAACTGCAAGCCCGAATACCGGCTGGGCCCAGTTTCTGGATATTTGCCAGACCTGCCTGCTCAAAGGCATTGATATGGACCGCCTGGACGCTAACATTCTGTAAAAACTCGGTAACAGTTGACTCGCGATTCAAACGCACCCGCATGGGCGAAGTTGCGATTGCAGGTCCGACAATATCGGCGCATTGTGGCACAGCTGCATACCGGCCTCCGTTGGTAACCCCAAACACGACATCCTCCGAATTCTCATAACACCCCAATAGAAATGCCCAAGCGGCACGGATGCGATTCGCCATTGTGAAGCCAAAGTTTGTGCCAACGTACGGGAAAGAGATCTCATACTGAGCATCTGTGCGAAATACTGGTGGCGCATCCGTTGCGGCAAAGGGGAATATCGACGCAGGACAATCATCCACCTGCTCCGTCCAGAAGGGCATGCATTCGGGACTTTTGCGGACTTCTATGCTATGGGCGACAAATAATGCAAAGCTGGGGGGTGCTGGGAGTGATTCCTCCCCGGATGCAAGATCGGCGATATGACGCTCTACGAGTGCTATACTCGACATGTCGTATGTCGCATGGTGTGCATACCATAGCACGTATGGTCGATCGCAATCCTCGCTGACGATCACCAAAAACTTTGTGAGAGGACGACCCACCGTCATGGCAGGCTTGTGGTCTTCGAGGCAAAGTTCTGAAATGGAAGTTACTCGAATAATATCAATCGCGGCCGGTGGTGGGAGGACGGCCTGCATAAAGCTGTGTTCTTCCGATGTCACCATTGCAGTTCGCAGAATAGGCAGCTTCTGCACCACTCGCAGCAATAAATCCGTGAGCCATACCGGGTCTACGGGGTGGACGCTCTGAAAGAGCCACGCAGACACATATACACCCGGTACACTAATGGACCGAGCCATGAGGCCAGCCTGCAATGCGGTCGTCGGATACATATCCTCAATTTCCTCTGGAGAAATGCCGCACTGCTCTGCGGCCAACTGCCGAACCAAAGATACATCACTATCAATGAGGGCAAATGGAGATAGAGCGCTCAAAGGTTCCTCCCATGGACCGGGCTCCCCGCAAGACATGAGAGATACCATGTCAGAGAATGTGGGCGCTGTGAAGATCTGTCCGCGAGTGATCTGCATTCCTTGTGATGCGGCTGCCCTCACCAGCTCTGCCGCTGCCAGTGAGTCGCCACCCAGTTCGAAAAAGTGTGCATCTTGATCTATGTCCTCAACGTCGATATCCAAAATATCTGCCCAAATCTCTCGCAGAACACTCAATTGTTGCTCATCCGGACTTCCAGTATGTTCTTCCTTGCAATTATTCGCTTTCGGGTGGTCGATGGCGCTGCAATGGCCCATCTTGGCATGATCATAGCTCGCCATATATGTAGAGTAGTAAATATAGTTTCCGATAATTTTTAGGTCTTGATATTGTGAGCTAGATGATGTACTTCGCTAGGCAGTACTTACAAGACAATGATCCGGCAACTTTACACATGATCACCTGGATTTGGGGTCATGATAATACCCTTTCGATAGAGCCAAGTTGCTTGCATCCATCGAGATGTCCATAGACCCACGTTTATTTGTGTAGTGGTGCCACTGTTTATGCATAAACCCCTTTGCCAAAAGGTGGACACACCGGGTGTGACCATTATGATGATCTGCATACCTCACTCTTGTTCAATTCATTCAATTCATCCAAGATCTAGTGAAGACCACAACTCCTAGTCTTCCTGATCTTGCGAAATATTAATATCTGAAATATAAGACTGCATAGCGAGTTTTAAGTCTCGGGGAGATAAATGGCGTATATAATCTTCGCGGCAAATTTTTTTTTTCTAAAAAAACAAAACTTGGCCATGCAACAAATACCTCACATTTATTTACAATATCGTTACCCCTTTATAGGATGGGGAAAGGGGGTGGTTCATTTGAAGCCACCTGGTCAGGTGAAATAAATATGTGAATAGATGAACACAAAAAGAATTTCGAACTGGCCCATGTTTTCTTGTTAATTTGCACTGTGATTCAGTAATCATTAATATACCCCCCACTCGCTATACGTCTATTAAGGCGACTTGGTAGCCTTGATTGAACACATGCTCAATCGTCAATATGACCGACGCTTTACCCGCTCAGGATTCGCAGTTGACGAAGATAAGAGTACTTGTATTCTTTTCCCTTGCGACTCTCAGCTTGATGTCAGCTTTAGATGGAACATCCATCTCCGTGGCATTGCCGGTAAGCAATCAAACCGACCACCGAAAGAATCTATCGGCCTAACTCACAAGGTGTAGATAATTTCACATGAGCTCCATGGAAGCGCGATTGAGACATTCTGGACCGGAACGTCATTTCTACTAGCATCAACTGGTACGAAGCTCGAAAAAGTAACTAACAAGCCCCTCACCATAATTAACGTTTTCCTTGCTAGTATTCCAACCCAATTTTGCGGCCTTTTCCAACATCTTCGGTCGTAAGGTGCTTATCATGACCGCCTTGACATTCTTCTTCGTCGGCGCTCTCATTTCTAGTCTCGCGAAAGATTTCACATCTCTTATCATCGGTCGTTCATTTCAAGGCGTTGGTGGTGGCGGGATCAATGCGATGACTGAAATTATCATCACGGACATCATTCCCCTACGTCTGCGAGGACAATACTTTGGCATTCTCAGTGCGATGTGGGCTATTGGATCAGTCACAGGGCCAATTCTTGGAGGAGGATTTGCTCAAAACGTCACATGGGTAAGTCTCTATATGATGGGGTAAACGTTGACAACGAGAAAACTGATTCATCCCGCCCACCCACAGCGATGGATCTTCTATATCAACTTTCCTTTCATCGGTATCGGCGCTGTAATGGTTCTCATCTTCCTCAAATTGAGTCGAGTACCCGGCTCGGTTCTGAAAAGACTTAGTGAGGTCGACTTTACGGGAACTGTCCTTTTTGTGGGCAGCATATCCTCCTTCCTGATTCCGTTAACCTGGGGAGGAGTCGTCTATGCTTGGTCATCCTGGCATACGCTAGTCCCACTGATTGTTGGAATTATTGGCTTGATAGTATTTGCTGTCTATGAAGCCAAGGCTTCTGCGAACCCTATTATCCCAGTCGCTGTTTTCCAGAACCGGAGCATTATTATATGCTATGTCACAGACGTTCTCCATGGTATGGTGCTTTGGTGTATCCTATACTACTTGCCTCTTTATTATGAGGCCGTGAAAGAATACTCTCCAATTATCTCTGGGGTTGCCCTCTTTCCCATAACCTTTACAACCGCCCCATCATCCGTTGTGGTGGGGTTTTTGATCAGTCGCTTTGGCTCTTACAGATGGGCAATCTGGCTAGGGTGGGTGATATCAACACTTGGATTAGGCATAATGTGCTTGATGGATATCAAAACCTCGGTTCCAGCTTGGATATTCTTGAACCTTGTGGGCGGAATAGGGCTTGGAATACTGTTTCCAGCCTTGGCCTTTGCGGTGCAGGCCTCAGTGGATAGCGAGCATCTCGCAATTGCCGTCGCACTTTTCAGCTTTCTCAAGTCTCTAGGGCAAGCAATAGGAGTGGCTGTTGGTGGGGTTGTATTTCAGAATCAGATGTTCAAAAATCTGCAACAATATCCTGCATTGGCACCAAGAGCGGCGGAATACAGCCAGGATGCCGCCGGGCTTGTACAGGTCATCCAGGCTATGTCAAATGGTCAGGATAAGTCTGATCTCAAACAAGCATACGTTGATAGTTTGCAGATTGTTTGGGCAATATGCTGTGGATTGTGTGGCCTGGCTCTGGTGTTGAGCTTTGGGACAGAAAGCTACAATGTGGACCGGGTTTTAGACACGACACAGGGTCTGAGAACAGAAAACGCTGGTAATTTGGAGAGCCATCAACCAAAGGATAGCGAGAAACGGGAGAAATCAACTCTGGCCCCGTAGATGCAATGCAAATGCATCGAATATCATGCGCAATGCAGGGGCGTGCTACCTTGATGTTTTAGTTGAAGTGGCACCACCAGATGTGATTCCACCCAGCACGGTTCCAGTCTCTAGGCCCGACACCACACTGCTTTGGCTTAAAATTGATAACAGTATTTTCTTAGGATATATCAACCTTATAATACAAGTAAGCTTAGTCATCCCACGCTGTCTATCCTGTCCTTTTGTAAGTGCTGAAGGCTGTTGCACCAACTTGATACTAATACCAATTTGGTTCCCCGATCTTATCAATTTTGAACTTTTACTCACTGTCTACCGAGATGTCTACGGGTAGTCCAGAACCTCCTACTGGAGGAGGAACCCTCTATCTTGGGAGCGAAACCCCCATTCTGGCTGTATGGGGTGGTGTCGGTTTTACGAGAGTGCCCTTGAAAGACTTACGAGACCTCTACGCTCTGCACAAAAACGACCTCGAAGAATTCCTCCAGCGCTGCAGTAAAACCATGCGGTCTCTTGCTTCACATGAAGTTGAGAGGTCAACAGACAGTGTGCAGCACGACCTTATGGAATGGATTACCGACTCATCGCGACGACCGCCGCCCGGTCATGCCCTACCCGCCGAGGTCTCCGGCGTTGTGACTGCCGTTCTGCAAATTTCTCGCTATGTGATAATGTGCAGGAGGTGTAGGTTGACTCCAGGAGAAATGGCACAGTCCTTTTCGGCGTTTTCAGGTCATTCAGTCGGCATCGTAGTCGCCGCTTGGATGGCGGTGGCTGACTCATGGTCGTCACTTTATGAATTGACCGACGTAGTTATGTCCGATATTTACTACGGTATACGTCAGGCAAGCTCCACATGGGACCAGAGAGTCAAAGTTCCCCAGGCGACAGCAACCGAATGTGTGCGACGAGGCGAGGGCGCACCCTCCTCAATGCTCTCCATCACAGGCCTCGAACGATCCAAGATTACCAAAGAAATCGACGAAATTAACATGACACTACCCGAGGGTCGGACAGTGCATTTGGCGCTCATCAATGATATGGACTCCTTTGTTGTAGCTGGAAGCCCAGAAGGTCTGGTAGCTCTGGCTAGCCGGGTGAGAACACCACAATCATCCGATGTTGATAAGGCGCACACCCTGCTTAAAGATCACCAACCCCGATGTTCCCTTCAATTTGTTGCCTCAAATCTGCCTTTTCATTCGCCACTTCTCCAGAAAGCAGCGACCGAAATTCGAAAAAAGCCGAACCAGCGCCGACTTCACAGGGATAAGATATTAGTACCCGTATGGGGCCTAGAATCACTGGTTGAGGAAGACCCGAGCTTGGCAGATAACCTGGAGCATTGTCTCGTTGAGATGAGTCTTTCAAAACCTGTAGACTGGCCTAAGACTTTGGATTCCATGAGTGGGCGGTGGCAGGTGCTAGACTTCGGACCTGGAGGCTCCAATGGCATCGGAATGGTGATCAACAAAATGAAGGCGGGCACTCAAAGTAAAATATACACAGTTTGTCCCGTGGAGCGTTGGCGGAGAAGCACTCAGGACAGTCCCTCGGCCAATCTCATCTCGACTTTATCCATCGGTCCAACTTCGCGACAATATTCCAATGCCGAGTTCGTGGAGCGGGAAGTCTCTGGACAGGAAACGAGAAATGCGCGGGTCGCGTCCCGTTTCATGCATGCTATGGGTTTGCCAAATCTTCTGGTAGCTGGCATGACGCCAACAACCTGCGATCCAGCCCTCGTTGCATCTATCATGAACGCTGGGTTTTATGCGGAATTCGCAACGGGTGGCTACCATGACGCACAGTCATTGGAAAATGCCGTTTGGACATTAGCGAAATTGATTCCACCCGGTCGACTCATAACTGTGAATGTTGTCTATGCAAATCCTCAAGGTCTCAGTTGGATGATCCCACTCTTGGCATCACTTGTTCGGAAGGGCTGTCCCATTGGTGGGCTAGTCATTGGTGCTGGCGTTCCATCTGCACAGATTGCTGCTGAATACATCAAAGTTCTGGAGCTTTCATACATAGGCTTTAAGCCAGCTTCAGTTTCTGCTATTCATCAAGTATTAGAGATTGCCAAATCTCACCCCACTCTTCCGGTTCTCCTTCAGTGGACCGGAGGACGGGCAGGGGGGCACCACTCCCTCGAAGATTTCCATCAGCCAATTCTTGAAACTTACCATGCTATCTACGAAACGCCGAACATTCTTCTAGTAGCCGGGAGTGGCTTTGGCGACACGGAAGGGTCGTGGCCTTACATTTCTGGGAAGTGGTCAGCTCACTTTGGCCGAGAGCCGATGCCCTTCGATGCAATTCTGCTCGGGACTTGTATCATGACTACCCTAGAAGCAAACACCAGTCACGGCGCCAAGCAGGCTTTGGTCTCCGCTCGTGGTGTAGCTGATGAAGAATGGACACGTACCTTACAGGGCTCTACAGGGGATGTCATTTCCGTCATATCGCACTTGGGAGAACCAATGCATGTTCTTGCTACTCGTGGTATGCAGTTGTGGGCTGAGCTAGAAAACACCCTATTCACGCTCCCCAAGGACAAAATGATCACAGCACTTCATTCTCGCCGTGAATATCTCATCTCCCGATTGAACGGTGACTACCAGAAGGTCTGGTTTGGATTTGACTATGTCTCGAACAAAGCTGTGGATCTCGCCGACATGACCTACTTTGACGTGCTTCGTCGGCTCATTGAATTGCTCCACCCGAATGTAAAAGGAGACTGGACTTTCCCGTCATACCAAAAAATTTTCAATGCGTTCCTCGAGCGAACCATGGAACGTTTTGATGCTGTTCCTCTCGACAACGCGATTACCCCACAAGAGAAACTGGACGCGGTGGCCTCTGCTATACCACATTCCGCCTCACATTTCTTGTCATTCCAAGACACACACTTTTTTGTGGATCTATGCCAGAAAAGAGGGCAGAAGCCAGTTCCTTTCATTCCGATTCTTGACTCGGAATTTCCTGTTTGGTTCAAGAAAGATCCACTTTGGCAGTCAGAAAACCTAGATGCCACCCATCACAGGGATGCCGGCCGTGTGTGTATTCTGTGTGGCCCTGTAGCGGTCCAACATTGCAAAGAGGTCAATTTACCTGCATCCACAATGCTCCACCAGATCTACCAAGGTTATTTGTCCAAGGGAGCTGAATTGCCCCAATCAGCCGTGTGGTTGGATGAGAAATGTGACCTCTTGCACGCTCTCGAAATGGTCAATGTCACACTCAAAGATGATGTAATTCAACATCCTTTCGGGGCCCTCGATGCTGTGAACAGCGAAAGATGGCTACTCCTACTAGGGTCTCAATTAGGGGACTGGGGTAGGCGCCTCTTTGGAGCCAAGAAACTAATATCTCACGAACGGGCATATGAGAACCCAGTCAGACGCATATTTTCTGCCCGTCCAGGTACGCTAGTGCGGCTTTTAGAGAAGACCAAAGATGGCTACAATGGCGCAGAAATATGTGACCGCACTACTGGCTTAGTTGATGCGCGACTGTCGAGTAATGGAAGCACTATTACTGCAGTAATACTCAACAGATGTTCCCTTGGTGGTCATCTCCGTGAATTATCCCTTCAATTTGTTTACGATCCATCGTGTTCGTATGCTCCTATTGTGGAGATAACGGAAGGCCGCACACAGCGAATACTTGACTTCTACCACGGTGTACTTTTTGGCCCGATTATGATCCGCTCCAAAAGCGTAAGACCTCGGTTCATGCAGCACTCTTCTTTGTCTGTCTCAAAAGACCATGTACTAGCCTGGATGCGAGCGGTTGACGGCCAGGAACTAAAGACTGCAGATCCCCTGGGCCCCAATGGGGAGGTCCCCATTGAGTATGCTACGATCTTAACTCTGATGGATCAATGGCGCCATCTATTTACATGGGATTGGGATATCTCGAGGCTTTTGCATCAGCGTACCATGGTTAAAATGAGAGATGGCCACCGGATGCTTTCTGTGGGCGATGAAGTAAAGGTTACCACCCAGATTCGCGCTTTGCATAACCGCGAGTCAGGAATCGAGGCTGTCTTCGATGTTAGATACGAACGAGAAGGCGTAATTTTCATGGATTGCGTCCAGCAAATTATGATGCTCGGCCAACGAGCCGCTGAGTCCGACTGTTATGACTCCGGTGAACCCACCACTTGGATGCTGCCTCTACGGAGTGAATCGGATGTGCAAGCAATACTGGCCAGGCCATGGTTTTCTTTGGTTGCTGGCCAAGAGTCGTTGCATGTTGGTCAAAATCTGATCTTCGAGATACAGCGTGAGACTCGGCTGCAAGACGGTAGTTCCATCGCCACCACGTTTGGAGATGTATGGTTCCAGGAGTCGAAATATCTCTGTGGCAAGGTCAAGCATATGTGCAAAGCCACCCTTCCTGACGTTGTTGCAGATTTCTTGAAACGGGAGGCTTTCCACATGGGAGAACCGGGTCGGCTGCCACCACAGACTGGCATGACGTTCCAGGTCATCACTCCAGACAACAATATTGAATATGCTGTAGCGGGCGGCGACTACAATCCAATACACACCATTCCCACTTTTTCACGATTCTCGGGCTTTGAAGTGCCGGTCTACCACGGCAACCACACGATCGCCCTTGTGCTTCAACTTATCCGACGTGAGATTCCGGGCGCAAATGTCATTACACTTCGCAAATACGACGTATCTTTCTCTGCAGTGGTTTTCCCAGGTGAAAAGCTCATGGTTTTGGTGAAACATGTCGCCATGGATGAAGGGCGGGCCGTTCTTAGCATCTCTGCCCAGCGCGAAGGATCGGAGGAAACAGTTCTGGCCGCTGAAGTTGTGCTGGACCCACCCACGACAACACTCCTCTTCACTGGCCAAGGCAGCCAGTTCCAAGGAATGGGTCTGGACATGATTTCTGAAAGTCGTATATGTCGCCGTGTGTGGGCAGAAGCGGATGCATACTTCGAACATAACTGGGGTTCGTTATCCCTCGCTGCTATATCGGAATTGCTTACTGACATCTCTAAAATAGGATTTTCAATCACCCAAATCGTCAAGAACAACCCAAAACAAACAACTGTGAACTTTTGTGGAAGACTTGGCATGCAAGTGCGAAAGAACTACCTGGGTGTTCAGCAGATGTTGAGCGCTGGACCATCTACTCGCGAGCTCGAGCTCTTCAAGGGCCTTACTGTCAGGTCTCGATCATATACCTTCTTCAAAGAGGATGGTCTTCTGAGCATGACGCAGTTCGCCCAACCAGCTATATTTGTGCTCGAGAAAGCCGCGTTTGAGTATTTGAAGGAGCAAGGCCGGGTGCCTCTCAACTCACACTTTGCAGGTCACTCTCTCGGCGAGTTTGCTGCACTGGGCTCCATGACATCTATCATGTCGGCAACAGCGGCGTTGAAAGCAGTATTCATTCGTGGTGCCCTGATGCAAGCAGCAATTCCTCGCGATGCGTTGGGACGCAGTGCGTTTGCTATGATGGCTGTGGATCCGGCCCGTGTAAGAAAAGGTATGCTTGGGTTACAATTCCCGGCTTTCCAGAAATCTATTGCGTCGAGTATTCCTTGGCTAACCAGACCATGCTGTAGAATGCTGCGAAGAAAACATCTTGAGAATTATCGATGAGATAGTCAACAGCACCGGGCTTCCACTAGAAATGGTCAACTTCAATATCAAAGGCCACCAGTACGTCTGTGCAGGCGACAAACGGTGCCTTGAGTTACTGCAAAGAGTTACAGACGAGCTACACCATGGCAAATTGAGTCTTGACTGTTCTGCTATCCTAGTTGCCAAGTATTCCAGCAAGATGGCGACATCAGCCAATGGTGTTTCCTTGAGCCGTGGGACGGCAACAGTGCCACTCAAAGGCATTGATGTGCCATTCCATTCAAGCCTCCTAGCACCTATGAGGGGGGTATTCCGTACCATACTCGCTGACTGTGTGGATAAGGGTGAGGTGCAGCCAGATGTACTAGTTGGAAAGTGGATCCCCAATGTGACAGGAAAGCCATTCGCGCTCGACGATGCTTATGTCAAATTGGTTGGTGAGATGACTTCCTCAATGGGCTCTCAAATATCTGCGTGAGAGCACGGCTACTTGCATGGGGCTTTCCATGGTGGGAAATTTGATAAATGTCCTATCAATAGTCAAAATGACCGAGACAAGTGGTCAGCTTCAACTAGCTGAAATCGCCTATTCTCAGTGTGTCGAGTGGATCAATGTAATGAGACTAGATTCATGGTAGTTTTTGTGGTAAATATATTTAAGTCAAGCAGGCTCAGCAAATGTACAAAATCATGAATTTTATTCCCAAGACCATAGAGCAAAAGAGTGCTCTTAAAAACCAACGTGTTTAGTAAGCGCGCTGCACATTTTAGAGATAGCTCTAGAATGAAGATCATAGAAGAAACAGCGTATTCAATTCTCTAGCCGAGTAAAGGGACGAATAGAGAAGAACGGAAGGAAGAGAGGGGGGGTGTATGTTCATGACTAGACTGCGACATCGCCCGTCCATGGGCACTAGAAAGTGTCCACGGCCCGTGGGCCTTTTGAAATTTGACGCCCATCGCCCACCGTTAGACTGCGACATCGCCCATAGACGGGCGGGTGGGCAGTGCCCACGGGCCTTATGTAAGCGGGCGATGGGTACTATCTATACGCCTATAGACGGGCCCTACCCTTAGGGCCTATTGTCTATAGACACCGTAGGCGCCTATAGGCCTTTTTAGTAAGCAGAATTTCTTGACCTCGTGACCTACATTATTTGTGCATTTTTTCTCTGTATTTTTGAGTAATTCGATTATATATACAATAACTTGATACTACTGTCAATTTTCTAACCTCGGTCAGAAAAATAAACTGTAGAAGCCTTTATACAATAACTTAACACTACAGTCAATTTTCTAACCGAGGTCAGAAATAAGCTTTAGAAGCCTTTATATAACAACTTGATATATTGTCACTTTTTTAACCGGGGTCAGAAATAAGCCTTAGAAGCCTTTATATAATAACTTAGGTATTTATTATATTTATATATTCACACTAATACGATATAAATTGATTATTATTGGGTTTACTACGCTTCTTTACTTCTCTTAAACTAGGGCCCTTTTAAGTGCTACCCTTATCTCTATAATAAGGGAGATAAAGACTACTCTTATCTTCGCTGTCGACTAGCTCACTTCTAGACTTCCGCACGACCCAGTTTGGGTCGAAGGTCTCGACCCAGAACCCAACCCAGTCTGGGTCTGGGTCGAAACCTCATAACCTAGGCCCAACCCAGACCCAGTGACTGGGGCCCCAGAAAACCCAGTATAGCCCCAGTTCGACCCAGTTTCTGCATAAATTATGGTATAAATATTTAAATAATATACTGTCATTTTCCCCTGTTATGGTTTCTACATCGAAATACTACACTCTCTACTAACAAGGGAAAGGAAATTTTAAGAAATTACCTCGTTCTTCAAAGCAATATATCTGGTTCAAGATTAATTACTTCTTCAAATGCTTTATTTTATATAGAAAGGTGGTATATATTGGCTGCTGGTTTTCTTAAGCGTACGATAGTATTCTATTTAAAATACAAAGTATACCCTAAGTTGTAGATATATATATTCAATATATATCAATATAATATATATTTTTATCTATAGAGTAAAATAATTTTTGAATTTATTTATTTCTCTTCTTCTGTTTAATTTTAGAGCTTATATAACTATAGATAGATATCTAGTAAACCTTTATATTCAAAACTACTTACTACCTCTTAATCTACTTGGTATATACGACTTGAAGGGAGGGTAGGAAGAAATATTTTAAGAAGGATTAATAGAACTGGGGTGGGAATTGGGGTTTGACTGGGGTTTTACTGGGTTTACTGGGTTCTTACCGGGTTAAATAGGTTCTTACTGGGTTCTTACTGGGTTAAATAGGTTATAACTGGGTCTTGACTGGGTTATCTCAGGGGTATTTCTTTAGACCTATATAATTTTAGTATAATAGACCAATCAACAAGAGTAGGATGATTTACTATATTTGATATATTAATATTCCTAGACACTTCTACAACTTTAGTGTATTTCTTCCTTTGTACGTTAAAGAATTTCTCCCCTTATATCCCTTTGTATATATTATATATCATTCTTATATTATATCTCAAAGCTAACTTTCCGACTTTGTATCGTCGCTCTATAGTGGTGATCTTAACGATCTCTTATATATTTTAACTGGATAAGTCACACTATCCGTAAGTCAATATACAATCGACTTAAACTTCCGAAGACTAGATAATCCCCTCCTAATCCCCCCTTTATTGAAACGCGTTGGACCCGACCGTAGGAAAGGGTTTATTCTATACGATATAATATTATATAACGATTTTGTGGACTGGTAGTTAGAGACTAACTACAGGAGGAAAAGCAAGCTTAAATAGGATTCGAACCGCTATATAGAGATCTAGAATAGCTACTATCAGGTAGCTTAGGGTATTGATAGCGCACTAAAGGTTATATACAAGCGCTGTAGGAAGATCCTAGAGTATCCTTATACACTAAGCCCGAACAGTATAGGCAAAGCGCAGTATTATAGTATATTAACTATCTAGAAATATCGGAAAACGGCTGGTTGTTTACGGTCGGAAAAGGGGAAGAAAGCAGAGATTACAAACTTCCTACAAAGAGAGGTATATTTTATATTATAAAACTAAGTAACTATACTAATTTATTATTATTCTAGGGAGAGGTTTCAGTAAGTATACCCTTCTTATAAGAAGATTGGGAGGAGGATCTCCTCCAATTTCTTACTCTTAACCGGCTCCTATTCTATCTGATCGAGTATCTATTATTCAAACGTATTATCAATAAAGCTCGTTCCGCCCTATCCCCTCCAGTGATCCTATCTACCGATACTATCCGTCGCCGATTAGGTAGTCTAGTCAAAGACCGGCAGCAGCGTATCCTTCGTACACTACCTTCTAGCTCAAAGATATCTATTGCGCTTGACTGCTGGATATCTCTATTCTCGCAGGTATTTATAGCTATTACTGGCTATTTTATTGACAGTGATTGGGTATATCGTGAGGTACTACTTGGGTTTAAGCCGCTTTATAGTATATATACCGGCTCTTACCTAAGTAGTGTTCTTATAGAAACCCTAGTGGAGCACAATATTGAAGATAAAGTATTCGGGTTAATAATAGATAATATATTAAACAACAAGATATTAGCTACTGCTCTCCAATAGGCTTTGTTAGATAATACTATTATCACCCGAATACCATATCTTACCTACGTTATCCAGCTCAGCCTAAATCAGCTTCTTGCTCGGATCAAGGCAGTTCTATTAAATAAATCAGCCGAGACAAGGTAGATAGAGAAGCAGTTAAGGCTAGCCCAAGAAAATACAAAGCAAAGTTAGATCTCCTCCACACTGAACAAAGTCCGTTATCTTACGATTTACGTTAATACAAGTCCCCAGCGCAGAGAGACCTTTTACAATCTTCAGACAACTAATATCAAGATCGTTCCAATCTAAGATATAAAGACACGATAGAATTCTACGTTCCTTATACTTCGCCGGGTAAAGAGGCTATATACTATCTTCTCTTTATTCTGTACAGAGTATAATTGTGAGGAGATACTACTCAGCGAGTAAGAGTAGTGTTAGATCGACTATCTTCTTTATATCACCGAGCCCTTCTTTAATTATATAACACAGCTATTAAAGACTCGAGATATCACTGCCCACTATATATTTAAGATCTATAACAAACTATTCGATTATCTTAAGCGATCACAGGTACAGCTACGCCGAAAGCGTATCCTATAGAAGAAACAGATACTAGAGGCCCTTAAAGCTGGTCGGTCTAAGCTTAATAAGTATTACTCCTAAGCTAATAATCTTCGAGGGAATATCTATACAATCAGTACAATGCTTACACCGGTGAACAAATTCAAATTCTTCCTCTCTAGTGATTAGGATCAGAAATAGCGAGATACCTATCGACTTACTTTTGAACAAGCCCTTATTCTATATTAAGCACAAGTTAGAATAAGCAGTTGTGATCTATAAAGCTATCTAACGATAGCCTATCTAAGCTTAAGGCTAGAGGAGATACTTAATAGAAGGGATATACAACCACGAGCTATTACTGATAAAATCAGTCAATATCTTAATAGCGGTAAGTAAATACAAAGAGTATATACAATAATAATACTAATATATATATAGATACTGTTTCTGTTAGGCCGCTTACTTTCTGGAAAGAGCACTAGGCTCGCTTTCCGGCTATTGCTGCCCTTGCACGAGATACACTCTTATTTCCAGTAACTAGCGCAGGAGTTGAACACCTCTTTAATACCGCTCGAGATATTTGTCACTATCGTCGTGGTAGAATAAAGAGTGAGACTGTCGAGGTATTAATAATATTTCTTTGTACAACGAAATTTGATATAGAGGAGCAGGAAGTAACACTTCTTGAGAAATTCTTCTCCTAGGATAAGCTTAAGGCGGTAAAAGAGGAGAGGGAAGAGAAGCTTAGTGAGATTGAGGTTGATCCAATTAGTGATACAGAGGAGCAGGAGGATAAACCGGAAGATAAACCAGGGGATACAATTGAGGTTATAATTGAGGATAGACCAGAGGATATACCGGAGGAGAGGCCCTTACCTATAAGTGAATATAGTCGTCCTTGCTCGCTATTATTACCACCAACCTGTATACAGATATAAGTATTAGGGAGAAAACGTAAAAGCAGGGAAGATGATTTATTTGAATACTATTAGCTTACTTGATAAAGAATCCTCAATTATACGCATCTCTTTTACCCTTTTTACAAATAAAATTAGATATAATCAAGTAAAGCAAATACTCAAAATTACCGCGAATAAATGTATAAGTTATACATTTAGAATCCTTAGTATATTTGTTTAGTTTGTAACCTAGTTTGGGGCCCCAGACCCAGTACTGGGTTACCCAGTCCGACCCAGACCCAGTACTGGGTCGAAGGGTTCGACCCAAAACCCAACCCAGACTGGGTTGGGTCTGGGTTGGGTCTGGGTTTTACTGGGTCGTGCGGAAGACTACTCACTTCTCTGTCGCTTCTGCGTACTTAGTACTATAGAAGGACGAGGAAGCTAACTCTCTATTATAAACTTATACTCGATCAGTCTAATAGGATTATTATCCTCGGAATCCTTACTATCGCTGATTAGTTTAGGTATATCAGTAGTAAGCTTAGCCTCTCTCTGTTCGTCTGCTTCTTATATTAAATCTAAGGATATATCCTTATCGGGTAGTTCTTCTATTTCAATATCGAACTAGGTTTTACACCGGAATATTATAATATCCTAGACTATCTTCGCACTCAGCCGCCTATATCGGTAGTGGTAGATATCCTGTACTAAATTAAAAAGACGTTTAACTCTAGCGCCTATTGTAGGAATAGAGAGAATATCGCGAGTAACACTTAAAAGAATTAGGAATTTATTCTTATATTCCTTCTAGAATTATAAAGGATCGACCTTTCTCCTTACTATTATAGGTATTAGTATTCCTACTTATAATAACAGTGAATATAACGTACGCTTTTTAAGGTATCTAGTAAGTTTATACTCCAACGTTGATAGATCAGAGTAGATATAAGGTAGAAGGTTAAGGAGGGTGTCTAGGTTACTTATACTGGCTGAGTGACGCTTAGGGGGTTACTCTTCTTATAGGGACTGTGTCTAAGTGTATCTTTGGGTATAAGGAGCTATAAACTAGCGAAGTATTTCCTTATACTAATCACTCTAGTTTGTATCGTTCTCCGATATACCCTATACCTTACTTAAGAAGAAGTGAAGCTTATACTGGGGTGTAAGAATTGTTCTAATTGCGTAGAGACTACTATAGATCTCTTTCGTCTTTATATAGTAAGAGGTAAGCTTTACTATCCCAGTATTAAGGGCTTATAGTGTGATTCAGAAAGGATCGCATGGTTCTGTATTAGACTGGGGGACTTAGGCTACTATATATATATATATACGGAAGTCTATATATACCGAAGTGGCATAATACGGATCGCTCCGGACCCGTTCGGTGGCTCACAGCGTCCAAAGACGCAGATTATATACCCTTAAGGAGCCTTCCGGATCTCATCCTCCCCCACTGACTCGGAACTGGGCCCTAGTTCCCGTATATATCAAACAAAACTGTGTAAATAAACTCTCCTGCGGTTCTGGATAGCTCCGGCCGTTTCTTTGTTGCGGAGACAAAGAGTTCTGTGTTAGGTAAATTCTCTAGGAATAGCTGAAACGCTCCCCCTAGTCGGTTATATACACTATAATCGTGTAACAAAGGCTTTGAAAGCGGCTGAAACATCCCCTAGCCGGTTATATACGCCACAGTACGCAGCAAGAGCCACCAAAATTGTCTGTACAAAGGAGAGATATCCTAAGAATAGCGTAGCGCTAGGATTTTTGAAGGTGTACTCCTCCCCCTATATAATAAAAGCCGTAGTAAGGAATATTTAGACAAAGAAAGGTGAAATCCCTATAGTAAAACGCTTATTTCTGTCCGGGGTGGTCTCACTTCCACTTTTCTTTCACTTTATATAAGTAGTACTCGGCCCCCCCCTAACTCTCAATTCACTTCCACCTTCTACCTTCTATTGTTTCTCCTCTCTGTATCTTCCCGTTTTCTTCTTTTTTTATCTCCCTGTATTACTTCGTCTTCCTTTTCTATTATTTCTGGCCCGCGTAGGACTAGTATATAACGTTTCCCCGGTTTTTAAAGCCTTATAGGGCCCTCCCTAGTCTGTGTAGGACCGATCGCTGATATTTCCCTTCCGCTACAGTTTTTTCTTCGGTGTGATATAGCCCCCCGCAGCCTACCGCACCGTCGCGTCTCCCCCGCCCCCCTCGCCTATCTCTTCTCCTCCGTACGTCCCCTTTTCCCTACGTATTTCACGCAGCTATAGCGTCTAAATATTTATATTAACGCGTTCTCAGCAGGCCAGTTATAGCCACTCGTTCGCGCGCGCCCCCCCGCGTCGCTTCTTCCCCTATAGGGTCTCCTTCCTCTCCGTCTATACCTCCCCGCCGCTTATCTCGCTATCGCGGCCCTACGCGTCCTCCGTCTCCTAACCTTATTATTATTGACACGCCTATTTCCAGTGCTTCTGTAGCTTCGGCTAATTCCGACTAGCCCTGTCCCCTCGCCCTCGCCCTCGGCGCCCTTAGTACCGGTTCTACTAGGGCTGCCCCGGCCGGTAACAGTAGTACTAGCGCTAGCGCTGTCCCGGGTAGTACTAGTGGTACCGGTGCTGCTCCGGCCGGTGTTAGTGCTGCTCTCCCTCCTCCTCCTATACTTCCTACCGGTGCCGATCCTAGCCCGGCTGTCTCTATACAGACTGTTCCGGAGCTTACTGCGTATAAGTTTACGTAAGTTCTCGACCGTACGTAGGCTTCCGTTCTTATTTTTGTTCTGAACTAACCCTATATATAGCCGATTATACCAATATAGATACCACTGGCCTTCTGTACCTCGCCAATATAAACTGTATAGGAGCGGACGACTTATTTGCGCGTATATCGCCGGTACGTACTAGTATTGACTAGTGTGCTATCTATCCCGATACAGCCCGTTCGGCCCGGGCCGGTCCTACTCTGCGTTCCGTGATTAGGTAGCTATACGGTACGTAGGCCCCCGTTAGCGGCGAGTGTAATAGGTATACCAATAGTAACGGACCGTTCAAACACTACTATATTATTCTCGTTCCGGACGGTACCTAGCCTACTATCCAATAGAACTAGGCGTATATAAGCTGCAGTTACTTATCGAGCGGTAATAAATATTTATTCTGTCCGGAGTCTAGTACCCCCCTACCTAGTTAATCGCTCTTATCCGGACCCAGAACCCCTCTAATCCCCTCCTAAAACTTCTATCCGTAACTAGACCTCCTACGGCTGTTCCCGGTATCGGTAGTGCGCGACTGTCCGGTGCTGCTATAACCCCTCCTCCCCTTAAGTAAAAGAAGGATAAGGGTAAGGCCCCGGTGGGTACCGGTGGTAGTGACAGAAAGGCTGCTGCGGGCCTATCCGGTACCGGTAGGAAGGATAAAGGTAAACGGAAGGCTAAGGATAAGGGTGATAGTAGCGCGGGCCTTTCGAAGAAGACTAAGATAGGTAGTGATAGTGACAGCGGGAAGAAAAAGTACCCGGACGTCCCCGCCTATATTGAAGTTACCCCCCCCTATAGCCCTATATATAACTCCGTTTAGTACAATTCGCCCCTCCTTACTCCCGGAATTGCTTATATAAGTGATCCGGCCGGAGCCGTCCGTTCCTATACGGAGCTAAAGGAGGTATAGGACCGCCTTACTTATAACCTGAATACTATAAAAACGGTGCTGCTCGGGAAGAATCTAATCTCGGAATCAGATAATAAAGATAAGGAGGGTAGTTCGGTAAGTTCCGAGGGTACTTTTACCGGTATTGAGTAGTTCTTCCTTCCGTTCCTTAGCGTATAGTGGTAGGTGTAGTGGATCGGCGTTTTTATTAGGGCCTATATAGTCCTTTTTCGATATACTTACTTTCCTATAGAGTAGTGCCTTCTTACCTACTCCCCTTTTCGGCCCGTTTCGGGCCAAATAAAGACTGTTTTAGTCTTTTCTTACTATACTAGCTCTTCTAGCGGCTGATAGTGGTGGAATCACGACTGCGAATAGGTGTACTGATCGATCTAACTCCGTCTATATAGGTTCCGGATAGGCGTCCCCTGTTGATTCTTACCCTAAGGATACTATTGAATTTGTATTATCCTCGGATTCGTAGTCGTTCGCTTCCGAATCCCACTTATCTACACCCGGTAGGCCTAGCGCGGATATATTCTCGCTATTATTCTACCGATTTTTCTTCCGGCCCTATACCCGCGTTTTAGTAATTAGATGCTCGGCGATAGTGTCCTCCCCTACGAATTCACAACGCGCTCCTCCGCGCTTAAATTCTTACTATTCTTCCCTCGTAAAGGTCGAAAGGTCCGCGTATATTGGCGGCGGGGGCTTAACCTTATTAAGTACTCTTCGAAGCTCTTCTGGACGGTTAATCTTTACTCCGGACCTACAGAGTGCCGACTGTCCCGTAGGCGAGGCCTATAGACAGGGGTCCTCGCCTACGTTTATATCTAAGAGCCTTACTCCGTTAATAAGATTCCTCAGAATATATCCTTACGGTTCGGCTAAGGCATATATACCTAACGGGTGACTCTAGAGGACCTTATATAGCCCGAACTATATATTCTCGTACTTCTTTTTAGCTTCGTTTTGTACTAATACCTAGTCTCCTAGTTTAAAACTAGTTTTTGTAACAACTGTGTCCCGAATTTACTATTTTTTGATTGTATAGATAAGTAGTAGTTCGTTTACTTTCGAACGGGTGTCCGAGAGGCGCCGGATTTGCTTATCCCGGTCGATTTCTGGGGGTAACTCGACTATATCACTTTTATCCGACAGTATTCGGGGGTATACTCTATATATAAGGAAGTACATAGTTTTCCCTGTAACTGTATACTCCCTAACCTAGGTAGCGAACACCGCTTATATAAGGTATTTATCCTATAGCCTTATAGGTTTCCCTATTAAGAACTTCGTTAGTATCCGGCCGATCAGTCCGTTAAAGTTTTCGATTTTTCCGTTCGTTTGTAGGTAGTAGGGGGTTATAGTACAGTGTTAGGCTTTGATTAGCTCCGTAAAGTACCGAACTACTCCGGAGAGGAGATTAGGGCTATTATCTAAGATTAGTTCTGTGAATACACTGTAGTATACGTAAATATCGCGGTATAGGAACTCAGCGATAACTTCTTCGGTCGCGTCCGGGACGGTACGTATAACTACCTACCCTATAGCGTAATCAATAGCAGTGATAATCTATCTGTTACCGTTTAGGGTAGTAGGTAGCCGTCCGATTAAGTCAATACCCTAGCGTTCAAATAGGCGCTCTCCTCTTACCACTATATACTGCGCTTCTTCGCGTTCTAGGCTTTTACGAGCGCCCTAGGAGACTTAGTAATTCGGATAGGTCTTTACAGCTTCTTCGATATCCAATCTTAGCGAAGGCCACTATCCTCGGGGGCGGATAATTCTGTATAGTCCCGGAAATCCTAGGTAGCTAAACTCCTTATAGGTATTGAGTATTAGGTCGGTACGGAACGGGGGTTCGAGGTATAGGGATACCTCCCCGTCTGTATACGTATAGATTAGCTGGCGGTTAACCTCCGGAGACGCTCGCTTATCAATAGGAATATCCCGGAAACTTAGGTTCGTAGTAAATCTCTTTACAGCTCGAGCGGTCGCGCGGTCGTCCGGTTCCGTTCTATCTTCTAGGAACCGGATTATCGCCGCTAGCCAATCCTCCTCGGGGACGCCTTATATAGCTCTAGCCTCTGTGAGGTATACGTCCTAGACGGTCCGTTCTTAGCTTATATTAGCGGGCGCGTCTTCGACTAGGTCTAGATATCGACTTATAGCGTCCGCTACAACGTTTTCCGAGCCTTTTCGGTAACGGATAGCTAACCGATATTCCTAGAACTCGGCGACCCAGCGCGCGAGGCGCTTACTGTACTCCTTCGTAGTATTGAGATACTGCAAACTCGCGTTATCGGTAATAATCGTGGTTTCGAAACGTCCGCTATCGATATATCGGTCCTATATACGAATCGCTTTCTTAATAGTAAGGAGCTCTTTTTTGTAGACGGGATAGTTTAGCTCTGTACTGTAGAGCTTCCGCCTATTATATACGACCGGATAGAGGATTCCTTCGTCGTCCTCTTATATTAAGACCGCGCTAAGTACCCACTCAGATATATCGGTCTTAATTGTGTATAGTTTATTCCGATCGGGTTGCTTTAGGACTAGTGCGGATATCAGTAGGCCTTTGATTTTCCTAAAAGCGCTCTTGTAAGCTTCCGTCTATATAATTAGTCGGAATCGCTTTTTACGCAGCGTGGTATCGGTCTCTTTCAGGAGCTTATAGAGTAGGACGTAGATTTTCGTAAAATCTTTAATAAATCGCCGATAGTACGTAGCTAGTCCCACGAATTACCGGATATCGTAGACGGTTTTTAGGCGTAGCTAGGTGTTTATAGCTTCAATCTTAGCCGCTAGGGGCCGTATAGTCCCGTTCCTAACAATATAACCGCAGAATTCTAGTTAGTTCGTAGCGAACTGGTACTTTACTAGCGATACGTACAGTTCCTATTCTACTAGTAGAGAGAGGGCTTATTCTAGGTACTTACAGTGGTCCTCTATTAATACTAAAAAGATAAGAATATTATCGAGGTACACCACTGCGCTGTGTCCTAGTATAGGCCGTAGCGTGTTATTAATCACCGATTGGAATATAGTAGGGGCGTTACAGAGTCCGAACGGTATCGTAAGCTATTCGTATTTACCCTATATTATATTAAAAGCGGTCTTTCTAACTGCGCTCTCCCCTATATAGATCTGCCAGTATCCGGCCGTAAGGTCAATCTTCGATAGGAACTGGGCGTTACCGACAATATCCAGCAGTTCCTAGATTCTCGGCAGTGGGTAACTGTTCTTCTCGGTAATCTAGTTCAACCCGCGGTAATCAATATATATATACTATTTCCCGTTAGGTTTCGCGACGAACACTACCGGGAAGCCCTATACGCTGTTAGAGTAGCGGATTAGGCCCTTTCGGATTAATTCTTCGACCTAACGGGCCTATTCGTCGAGTTTTTCGGCCGACAGTGGGTATATATTGATATTGATAGGTCGCGCTGTACCGGTTTCGATATCGTACGCGACGTTTCGCTCCGGTAGTAGGGCCGTAGGTAGTTCTGCGCGGAAGATATATCGATATTTTTCTAGGATTGCCTATACTTAGGGGTTTTCGTGTTTTAGTAGCTCCGAGCGGAGCGCGGTGGTGTCGTCGGGTTTCGCCTACACTATAAAGAGCCGCGCTTATATATTTCTCTTCCGTAGGATTCGTGATACGTGTCTAGCGGAAATCAGATTTACGTAGGTGTCTCCTTTTACGATTATATACGACCTATTCGTAGGGTATATATCGTGTTTCCTATAGGTATAGTCCGAAAGGGTTATAACGGACGTTTACCAATTAATTCGTGGGTTTTCGGAGCGGAGGAAGTCCTATCCTAGAATAACGTCGTACTCCGTTTCCAATACCTATACCTTAACTCGGCCTATCTATCCCCCCAATCCGATAGGGAGTACAACGAACCTAGCTATCTCGAGCTGTTACCTATTGGCGACAGTCACTATAAGGGGAGTTTTAGGTTTTCGGATTTTTGCGGTCCCGCCTAACTTCGTAATAATATATAGGGAGACAAAGGTATTGCTGGCCCCACTATCGAGAAGTATACGGGCTCGCAGCGGCTCCGTTGGGGCCGTATAGATTTTTCCCCGATAGAACGTTAACGAATCGCTTATAACGTTAAGGGATACTGATACGTATAGTGGCTTCTTCCGGCGGCGTTCTATCTATATCGAGTTACGGCGCTGGCGGTTCTTTTCGCGCCTCCGGAGCTGCGATAGAGACTCTGGCCGAGCCTATTAAGGTTTCTTTTTCCTCGGGACGTAGAGCGGGTTAAGGAGGTCTTCTATATCCAGTGGCGGTTACTCGGAAGCCTATTAAAGACAGCCGACGAGGGCTTCTATATCGTCTAGCCGGACTAGTTTTCCGCCGGTCGTAGGCCTCGGCGAGACGCAGCCTATTACTTCCGTTTCGTTTCCTCCGTTTTTAGAGAGCGGTATACTCGCGCTAGGTAACCGGCTTTACCGCAGTTATAGTACGTTTGTGTCTCTCTTAGTTAGGCTGTTCGCGGTCGTAAGTGTATCGCTGAGAGATCTATTTCGTCGGGATTCGGGGCGGTAGTCGGCCTATATTAGAGGTTGCGTACGATTATAAGGCCCCGTTTGTATCCGATAAAGAGGTCAACGACTTCGAGTATTATCGTTGGTTAGTTACACTCTACAGCCTACCTAGCTTAGTACTCCGTTTTAGTGCCTACGATAAAGCGGTGGATAAGGAGTGGTTCCGAGATTCCTACGTTAAGGTCTCCTACGGCCTAGCGTAGGTTAGCTATATAAGCCGTAATCCCCGTACACCCCTATTTTAGGTTATTAAACTTCTCCTAGAGTTTCTCTTAGCTAAGGTACTCGGAGAATTCTCTCTTAACCTATACCTTAAAGGTTTCCTAGGATCTAAACGTGACCGATCCCTGGTCTATATACACCCGTTTATAATTGTCTAGGCGTTGGAGGGCGGTTTTTACGAGCTTCCCGCTCGCGTAGATAATTCGCGCGGCTCCGGGTATATTATATCCTGTGATATCTATTAACTCGTTAAAGTATCGGTCACAGTCTACGACCTATTTACGGGCCGTATCGCCCTAGATCGTTCCGTCGTAGTTATTAATCTTCCTAATATTATTGATAATTAATCTCTTTACGTCCTTATCTATTCCTGCGAGGCCTATATTAGTTCTGGCGTTAACAGCCGCGGGACTTATATCGGCCCCCTCTGTTGTAGAGGTCGCTGTTACCTAGTGGTTCGCCTACTTACTGGTAAGTAGTTCGCTAAGGCGAGTAACCTCGGTTTAGTGTATTAGTAGGCTTCGGGCTCGCTCTGTAGCTGCGTATAGCACTAGATAAACTATTTCGTGGTCCCGGGTGTTATATATATATAGGTACAGCTCCCTTTCTCCAGCCGTTAAGACGTTTAGGGCCTACTGGACCTCTACGGCTAGTCCGGTTCGGACCTAGTCGCTTATTAAGGCTGGGGTTTCGGGGGTGCTTATTTTCGATATAGACAAAGGCTTCTTATCGTTTAGGGGTGTTTATATCGTTCTTACCGTTATCTTATTACGGGGGGGGTGGTATTTATATTGTCTTGTCCTACCCCCCTCGGATACAGATCTGTTCTGACCCGTCCGGGCGAGCGGAGTGTTTTATAAGGGGTGATCGCTGTAATTCCGGAGCTTTTTAGGCCGGTAAGCTTCTGTTCCGCCGAACGGTGGCTTAGCGCGTGAGCAGCTAGGCTGGTTCTACTGACCGCAGTGCCGTTCGGTCCGGATCGCTCTTATCCCCTTACCTTTCCTTATATTCTCGTATAGACGTAGGTCCGCTGGATCGTATATCGGGTTCAGGCACAGAGGGCTAGATATATATCTCGATATATAGGTTCTTGTACGGGTATCTTAGCCTTGTTTCTGGTCCCTCCGTACCCTTCCCTAGGCTTCTATAGAAGAAAACCTTAAACCGATATACTACCAGATATGATTCAGAAAGGATCGTATAGTTCTGTATTAGACTGGGGGACTTAGGCTACTATATATATATATATATACGGAAGTCTATATATACCGAAGTAGTATAATGCGGATCGCTCCGGACCCGTTCGGTGGCTCACAGTGTCCAAAGACGCAGATCATATACCCTTAAGGAGCCTTCCGGATCTCACTATCGTAGCCTTTATTGTGTCTCAGTACTACTACTGTGTACTATAGTACGCTACCACTCGATAAACTTTACTTTAGACGCGTTGTTTATCGCGTTATAGAGGATAAACTGCTTTCTCCGATCGGGGCCGACGCGTTTAAGAGAGTAATTAAGAATAGCCGGTTAAGTGAACTCGGACTCTATTAGTGAGATAGAAGTCTATTAGCTGTTAAAGAGACTAGGATTAATATTTAGATTAAGGTTAGGATTAAATATATCGGCGATGTAGGAGAGGTCTAGTTAGGAGCTCGGAGGAAGTAAAGAAGGCCCTGCGGTATAGGCACTAGGTTAGGATATAGTTGATATAATATAAGGGATAATATAACGACTATAGGAGAGTGAGTGATCTGAACTTACAATAGGTAACTTACGACTGTGTAAAACGAGGATTACTAGTAAAAGGGGTGCTTTGTATAGATCTAATAGATCGTAAATTGAGTGTAGACCCACTATATATTATAAGCTGATTGGCTATAAGTGTCTTTGTCTATAGGTATACCTATAGGTATACCCGTGGGTACGCCTATAGGAATATACCTAAACGCCTATCTTAAGTTACAATCGAAGGATTTAAAACTCCCAGAATAATAATATAAGTCTTTGAGTGATATAATTGACAGAATTTAGTGATATAAGCTTATAAAATAAGAATTATACTAATTATCTTTCGATCTACCTATAAGAAATATACTAGAGTAAGAGATAAAGTAGAATCTATAAGTAGTATTTTACTTATAGAAAATACTAGGTATATACCACTGACTTAAATATATATCTTTAAGCTGTTACAGTATAATTTAATAAGTTAATAAAAATACCACACAATATAATATATTTCGATTAAAATTTTATTCCAATTCGTATTATATATATACTAGTTTCTTATATATATAGATATTTCAGTAAAATTTATAGATATTATAGATTAAAACTGCTATTTTATATAGAGTTAGTAAAATAGGTGTAAATAACAGTTATTTATTATACAAAGTCAGCGAGTTATACGTCTATTTTGGGTGACTTTATACAATAGTAGGTATCGTGGGTATACCCGCTGTGGGTATACCCGTGGGCCTTGGGCGTTATAGACGGGCACTCGAAAATCCAAATAGCCCAAGGCCCACCGTGGACGGGCCTTAGGTACCTCCTAGGTGCCTATGGACAGGCGATGTCGCAGTCTAGGCCCTATAAGGCTTTAAAAACCGGGGAAACGTTATATACTAGTCCCACGCGGGCCAGAATGTAATGGATAAAGATCCTTATAACCTGGAGACCGACAATACGGGAGTCAGCTGATATAGGACCAATATATAATCAGCCAAGTATCGTGACCTAATCGTGAGGGGTTCGTCACATGACGGCCACGTCAGTCGATCAGATGGTTTACCCTATAGTCTGGGATCCCCCTGGATCCCACTTACTCCTGTAAGAATTAGTCTTGAGACAGTTCCACACAATACATTGTATTCGTCTCCTCTCACAGAGTCCTTGTATCTTACCCGGTTGATAGGCCCTACACCTGAGACCAGTATACCATTACACAGAAATAATAGAAAAGGAAGACGAAGTGATACAGAGAGATAAAAAAAGAAGAAAACGGGGAGATACAGAGAGGAGAAACAATAGAAGGTAGAAGGTAGAAGTGAATTGAGAGTTAGGGGGGCCGAGTTAGACTTCGGCACAACCCACTCTAACCCGGACCCAACCCAACCCAACCCAACCCAAAATGGGTTTTGGGTCTATTGCTTCGACCCAACGATAGGTTTTGGGTTATAGCTTATAACCCAAAACCTATTGGGTAACCTATTGGGGCCCTAATATAGTGTAAACCAGACAAACAGACTTCTAGCGTGTAACTGTATAATTAATATATTTTTTGCTTATAATATTGAGTATTTTACTTACAGCGCTCTTCTAGAAAAAATAGAGAATAAATCAAATAATTAAACCAGGATATATTTCTCTAATATTGCTCAAAATCCTTATCTACCCTACTCTTACGCTTCCTCCCTAAGGCCTATCTCTGAGTTATAGTCTCTAGTAACTCTGGCTCTGTTACCTCTATATCTATATCTATTAAATAAGGAGATATCTCTCGCAGTCTATTATCTACTCCTTCTTCCTCTTTATTATCACTAATTAGGTTAAGCTCAGTATCCTCTATATATTTATCGTTCTGCTCCTTCGCTAACTCAATCTCAGCTAGTGTAAAGAACTGCTTAAGCTACTTTACCTTAGAATCCTTAATATTGAATCTTATTGTATATAGAAACAATATAAGCTCCTCGATTGTTTCGGACTTTAGACGACTACAGCGGTAGTGATAAATATCCCGAGCAGTATTAAAGAGCCGTTCGATACCAGCACTAGTTACTGGGATAGAGAGAATATCGCGAGTAAGTAACGTAATTATAGGGAAACGAGATTAGTTCTCCCGCTAGAATTGAAGAGGTTTAATATCAATTAGATCTAGTAGTATAAATATATTAGTATTATCCTATATAGAGAAGAAATAGATTATAAATATACTACTATCGAGATATTGAGTTATCTTATCACTAGCTGGTTTTGCGGATATCTTATTACTCTTTAGTATTATATTCAGCCTAGAACTAGATAATACTATTGTTGGAGTATTAGTCGATCCTTGATTTATTGTAAGGCGCCCTTAATATAGAATTAATAATTCCTAGAATAATTTCCGGTAGGTATTACGCTAGTAAGGCTCTTAATTATTAGATAGAAAGAACTAAAATCTGCTGTTAGGTGCTAGTATTGTCCTAACTGTATAGATATATCCTTTAAGATTGTCGGTTTAAGAGTAGTACTTATTAAGTTTTAAGCGACTAGCTATAAGTGCTTTGAGTATATCTGATTTCTATAGAATACGCTTATGTTTAAGCAGCGCCTCTGCTTTAAAAAAGTAATTAAAGAGGGTATTGTAAATCTTAAAGATAAGATATATAGTGACCTCCTTTGTCTTCGAGAGCTCTGTTATATAGTTAAAGAATAGCCGAGTGATTTGTAGAAGATAGTCAATTTAACGCTA